ATATTAATTTAGTTCTTACAAAAAATGGGTCCCAACATGGTTTGTGTGGCGTTGCCATAGTGTGACGTCATAGGCACAGATCCCCTGTCCTCTTGTTTGGAAATGGAAATATGATCACCCTACATTAAACAAACTGTCCACCCGGACTTTTGCACTGCACAGAGACGCTTCGCTGCCTACGACTGAACGTCAGTTGAGAGTCAGTCTCATGCAGACTGACCAATGAAGAGAGGGCCTCAAGTTAAGACCCTCTCCTCATTGGTCAGTCCACACGAGGTGGGTCAAAGGTTACTCTGGGCGGGTTACGTGTTGTCAGGCATTCAAGTATTGAGTATATTTACTGCATATTACAGTAAAATATTCTGTATGTGACCACATTATGGTGATCCTTGGGTCGTGATGATGGAGCCCTTGAATATTGTTGCCCAGGGTACAACAAAGTGTTAATCTGGCCCTGGTTCCGCCGTCACATTCCCGCAGAAACTGGTTGATCACACCGGGGCCAGACTACTAGCATGTGGTTTTACAACCACAATGTCCTCAGAAGCAAAAAACGCTTTTAAAAGGGAGGGAGGAGTCCTAACTGTTGCTGCAGGCGTGTTGTGTGAGAGTGCAGTTATATACTGGTTAATATATTTTTGGGTTCAGTTGCTTTCATGTGGCCTAATGTGAGTCTATTTGGGATCATTGGAATGATCAGCAGCATTTCTTGATGTGACTTTATGGCAGTTGCCCAGGGCATCATCGCAAGGAGGATGGCATTCATTTACTTTTGTTTTATTTGGTATTTTTTCAGTCATTTTTGGAAATAGTGATCAATTTTGATAAATTCACAGCCTATGTTTAATTACATTTAAAATAAATGTCAACAGATGAGATCAAACAAAACATATGAGAATTGCCCTTAAGCTGTTTAACTTGGACCAAGCATTTTAGGTCACAGATAGATGTAGCTTAGGGTCTCTGTCTATACACCTTATAAGACAATTTAGGTGATGGCATGTTGTTTTTCTGCTATTGAACTGTTTTCTAATAATGTTGTGTTAAATAAAGTGAAGGAAGGAGAGAAATAACGTTTCCCTAGCAGTTTTTAAAAATTTCCCCATGTAATCCGATTAATCGATTAATCGTGTCGAGACCCCATCCGATTAATCGATTATCCAAATAATCGTTTGTTGCAGCCCTAGTCACATGTGACTCAGGGTGGTACAGCTTCTTAAAGAGACATGAACGTTGCCAACCTACACGTTTTCATTTTTTAGTATCAAATTTTTTGACATGAGAATTTTTTTTTTGATAAGAGTCAGAAATTTTGATAACTATACATTTTCGATTTATTGCCCAGCCCCAGAATAAAATTAGAATTTATTGCAAACAAGTTAATATATAATAAGTCACAGATTAATGAAATAATTGTTCATTACAAAATAAACTACTTTTTCTTTTTGTTACCTAAAAAAACACCTCAGACCCTGTTCCAAAGTCCTTACAGAAACTTAGACTAGGGCTGCAACAAACGATTATTTGGATAATCGATTAATCGGATGGGGTCTCGACACGATTAATCGATTAATCGGATTACATGGGGAAATTTTTTAAAACTGCTAGGGAAACGTTATTTCTCTCCTTCCTTCACTTTATTTAACACAACATTATTAGAAAACAGTTCAATAGCAGAAAAACAACATGCCATCACCTAAATTGTCTTATAAGGTGCATAGACAGAGACCCTAAGCTACATCTATCTGTGACCTAAAATGCTTGGTCCAAGTTAAACAGCTTAAGGGCAATTCTCATCTGTTTTGTTTGATCTCATCTGTTGACATTTATTTTAAATGTAACTAAACATAGGCCGTGAATTAATCAAAATTGATCACTATTTCCAAAAATGACTGAAAAAATACCAAATAAAACAAAAGTAAATGAATGCCATCCTCCTTTCGATGATGCCCTGGGCAACTGCCATAAAGTCACATCAAGAAATGCTGCTGATCATTCCAATGATCCCAAATAGACTCACATTAGGCCACATGAAAGCAACTGAACCCAAAAATATATTAACCAGTATATAACTGCACTCTCACACAACACGCCTGCAGCAACAGTTAGGACTCCTCCCTCCCTTTTAAAAGCGTTTTTGCTTCTGAGGACATTGTGGTTGTAAAACCACATGCTAGTAGTCTGGCCCCGGTGTGATCAACCAGTTTCTGCGGGAATGTGACGGCGGAACCAGGGCCAGATTAACACTTTGTTGTACCCTGGGCAACAATATTCAAGGGCTCCATCATCACGACCCAAGGATCACCATAATGTGGTCACATACAGAATATATTACTGTAATATGCAGTAAATATACTCAATACTTGAATGCCTGACAACACGTAACCCGCCCAGAGTAACCTTTGACCCACCTCGTGTGGACTGACCAATGAGGAGAGGGTCTTAACTTGAGGCCCTCTCTTCATTGGTCAGTCTGCATGAGACTGACTCTCAACTGACATTCAGTCATAGGCAGTGAAGCGTCTCTGTGCAGCGCAAAAGCCCGGGTGGACAGTTTGTTTAATGTAGGGTGACCATATTTCCATTTCCAAACAAGAGGACAGGGGATCTGTGCCTATGACGTCACACTATGGCAACGCCACACAAACCATGTTGGGACCCATTTTTTGTAAGAACTAAATTAATATCAGATTCTGCCAATTAAAGGGCTCTAAAACAATTCATATGTAAATATTTTGCATATTTAATGCAAAATCTAATTTTTCTGCTTTAGTGCTGCAACAAGGTTTTATTAATAATAAATTATTATACCTTTTGTTTTACTACAGCATCGGTAAGCTTCCTGTGCACAGATTATTAAGGATGCTTGTTTCAGCTGTGAGATTAGACGATAGGATCAATGAAAAAATAAGTTGTCCCACACTCCATGGAAACTTTCAGAGAATCCACAAATAGTGGCTTTCAAATGATTTTGTTACTTTTTGCAAGTTTAGAAAAGCAGCAGATGAGACAGCATGTCTGATCATTTAGTTTTTCATCTGATAATATTAGAACATGTCAGTAATGTCTGAGGGGCTTTTATAAACACCATATAACTAACACTACTGGAGAGGGCATGAATTACACAGAGGCTTCTGGGGAGCCCAGTTATTGGGGGGGGGGGGGGGGGCATTTTGCCTTGGCCCCCAAAATGTCTTGAAACGGCCCTGGGTGTGTGACTGAGTTTTGAAGGTGATCTGAATTGTATCAGAAGTATAAATATGACATGTGTAGAACTTATTGTTTTTTTACAGGTAAAAACGTGTAGTGGAGATAAAGCTACCTACATTTTACTTTTCAACACTTTGTTTTGTTTTCTTGTTTTTATTGAACTATTTTCCTGTCCTGTCTGTCTCTCTTCTTCCTGCATCTCCTCTTAATTCTCCAGAAAATCTGCTGCCTGGATTCTTACCTTTTCACCTCATCAGTTACTTTTGAGCAGATCAATTGGATCTCCTGACCGAAAAGCGCAGAGCGCGTTTTCGATGCTGCGTGAGGTGACATCACCACAGCACAGGTGATGAGCTCCGCAGTAGCGCGCTTCAGGCACAAATAAGGCAGAAAATAGAGAACATGTGCGGACATGAACGATCGTGTGCTAATTATAGTTTTTTGGTTGCGCCACTTTGAGAATGGACCGTGCGCTGGAAGCAGCTGCCTGGATCGCAACAATGCGGAACCGGTTCGCAGCAGCGCAAGTCTGCCGGCTCTCCCTCGCGCTGATCTGCCGGTACCGGCTCTCCCTCACGCTGATCTGCCGGTACCGGCTCTCCCTCACGCTGATCTGCGGCTCTCCCTCGCGCTGATCTGCGGCTCTCCCTCGCGCTGATCTGCGGCTCTCCTTCGCGCTGATCTGACTTGCTCTGGTCTGCGCGCAACGGCGGGCTGGAAAGGGGGGGGGGGGCTTTTGGAAGAGTTGTGCGACACAACGAATCGATGACGCAATTCGTTGCCAACGCTTTTAGTAATCGATTTTCATCGAATTTATCGATTCGTTGTTGCAGCCCTAACTTAGACCCACTGTTGCTCACTGCCAACAGGCTGAAACTCAGCGGGCAAACGGTTTTCCCATAATCAGAATGGGAGCTGTTTCATCCCGACCCTGAAAGCTGGCACCCCCCCACCCCCCACTGCACCCCAGCTCCGCAGGGGGTGGGTCAAGAGGAATAATTTGTCCAAGGGGTTCCATAGAGGATCATAAACAGGGGCAGCAGTAGCTCAACAGGTTGATCGGGTTGTCCAGTAATCGGAAGGTTGCAGGTTCAATCCTGGCTCCGGACAGAGAATTCTGCTGTTGTGTCCTCGGGCAAGACACTTAACCCACCTTGCCTGCTGGTGGTGGTCGGAGGGTCCGGTGGTGCCTGTGCTCGGCAGCCTCGCCTCTGTCAGTGCGCCCCAGGGCAGCTGTGGCTACATCGTAGCTCATCACCATCAGTGTGTGAATGAGTGTGTGAATGGATGAATGATACACTGTAGTGTAAAGCGCTTTGGAGTCCTTACTCTGAGAGGTGCTATACAAGTGCGGGTCATTTATCATTTAATAATTGTTATTATAAGTTTTATTGTAAAGGCATTCTTTCCCGAGAGATCGGTGTTGAGTCTTGTTATTGATAGACGTAAACATAAATAGGGGAGAATGTTAAAGGCAGAGCAGACATCTGATCAGAAAATAATTTAAATAGGCCGGTGTCTAAATGAGATGGTTTTCAGCATACAAACAATATTAACTGAAAATATTACACTGCGCCTTTAAACTACATTTTGTCTCATGCTAAATGAAACAGCTGAACTTTGGTTTAAATATAACACATTCAAGCACTTCCTTGTCTTCAGTCAGCAACAACCCCAACCTTCCCTCTGCTTGTATTATGCTATCATAAAAAAATAAACAGGGAATTTGGAAAATGTGTCAAAGCGACATATCACTTCCACCTCTGACACCGCGTGTGTTTCTTCGGCAGAAATGTGTTTTGAAGGGCAGTGGGAAGAAGGGACAGGACTCTTCGTGTGATAAGAAAGGAGCGTGTGAAAGGGAATTCAGCAACCAGCAGGTAAAACCAGCCTAGGTGTTAAGACACACAGGCAGGATTAAAGGTGAACAGTCTCTTTAAATGATAGATGATAATATCTGGCTCTCACCCATGTTGTGTGTGCTTGGTTTCATTCTGTTTTCCTGCACAAGCAAGAAAACAATTTCACAAATTATTTGCTAACTCACAAACACACACCTATAAACAACAGCAGGTTGGAGCATATAGCATATACGTAGCTTCTGATCTCACTGCACGAATTGTTGATGGACCCAGCAGAGACAAAAGTGATGGAGAGAAGTAAAATATTGTTCCTCAGAGTGAGCTGCAGGTCTTAACAGATGAAGAACAAAGTCACCTCTAGACTAGTGCTCACAGGTCCATTTCCAGCTTTAACCTTTGGACACGAGTAGAATCGTCTTCAGAGTCTCTCCTCCTCCTCCGCATTTATCTTCTTACTTTCACCTCATTAAAAAATAAAAAATAGGTCCCCAGAGCAAACTGAGTCAGTGGTAGAGTTGTGTTGCTGTTGGCCAATCAGAAGGGAGATGTCCCCCCTCAAAAAATAACACTACAAATCCTGTTGCCTGAAGCTCCTCTCTTCTGGATGAATTTTCCGTGCTGAAACAGGCGCACTGGAGTCCCCCCCCCCCCCCCCCCAAGTCCAACTTACAAGGCATTCGTATTAGAGACCATTCATCCATTTTCTTCTGCTAATATGGTGATATGGGGCTGGGTCACAGGGACAGCAGCCTAAGCAGAGAGGCCCAGACTTCCCTCTCCCCAGCTACTTGGCCAGCCGAGAGACATAGTCCCTCCAGCATGTCCTGAGTATTCCTTTAGGTCATCTTTCAGTTAGACGTGCCTGGAAAACCTCACCAGGAAGGCGTCCAGGAGACAACCTAACTAGATGCCCGAGCCACCTCAACTGGCTCCTCTCAGTGTGGAGGAGCAGCTTGTCTACTCCGAGCCCCTCCCAGATGACCGAGCTTCTCACCATATCTTTAAGGGAGCCCAGACACCCTGCAGAGAAAACTCATTTTGGCTGCTTGTATCCACAAATGTATTAAAAATCAGAGTAAAGCTCCTCTTTAAGACTTAACATCCTATAACGTTAAGGGCTCAACTTGTATCATCCATGTCTGCTCTCGTTTCAGCAGAAAGAAGACAAAAGGCCTCAGCCTAGAAGACTCCAGGACATGTTTGACAGAGGTAAATTATTAATGCTAGCACACTGATCTGATTAGTAGCTTTAATTGGAGCGTTTACATGCTGTAACCTGTCCGCAGACCGTTCTGTTTTAGGACGTAGCTCAGACCTCCTGCTCTCCTCATTCTCACAGACTCTCTGTCATGTTTGTGCATTACCAGCATTTTCTTGAACAACCGGCCTTTTCCCCATCTCCACTTCTCTGTTGTGTTTTCTCTACATCTAGATTGTGATAAAAAGGGCGCACACCGGTGCACCGAGCAACTGGGAGCGGCTGTCTCATGATATCATCTCCGTGTCACTGAAAGAAATTCATATGAGCCAGAGCTGTGTGTGTTAACGGGACAGTAGTTCAAACTTCCGCTGACCTGCAGGTTGACTCCTGCGCCGTCTTTACTAGAGGCGTGAATCAGCAGCAGCAGGCGTAAATCGGTGGTCTCCAGCTCTGCAGCTGTACCTTTCTCGTCGGCCCGGCTGAGAACGGTTTACGTACTGGTGCACATGCGCAGATTATCATTCTCTTTTCCTTGCTCCCAGAAGAACATTTCAGAGCGCAAACGGTTTCTTTGTTGCTACTCTACAGGGAATTTTACAAGAAAGTTCTACAGAAAGTAGCAAAGGGTCCTCAGAAATGTCACTAGGCGCTAGGAACAACGACAAAGACGCTGAGTCGGCAACAGTGCCTCTCGCTCTGCTACTAAGCTACAGATAGCAAATGCTACGTGCTATTCCTGACGGTGAATGCACGTGACGTCATCACGGATTACGCTGCCTCTGGAAGACACTGGGGAAGCAGTTCGACCCGAACATGCTCTTTTTCTGTGATTTTACAGGAATACAGAGGCAGTCACAGTAGAAATGCCAGAAGTCGTTCTACAGGACCAGGGCATTGCAGGAGAATGTATGAGGAAGACATTTTAAATTTCTATACATGCATTGGTTGTTAAACTTCCATATGGTCCCTTTAACTCCACAGCATCCAGATAGATAATAAATTGTGCATGTGGGAAGCCCTTGCTGACTGATTCCATCTGCCATTCGGAGGTTCCCCCTAATAGTACGCTTGATTTTGAATTGGCCAATCAGCTGGCAGTGGGTGCGTCGGCCCTGTTCGGCTCCAGGCAGACTACTTTGGGAAGTGGGCTGAAAAGATGTCTGGCTACACATGGGAAAATCCAAGACTACCTAAATAAGAACGCTCCCAACCCAGTCCAGGTGGAGTGGAGCCGATGCTAGTGTGCAAGTGCCATTTAATGGTGCCTGGAACAGCCTGGGTCACAAACACCCTAACTTTCACACATCAGTCACTTCTTCTGAGAGAATCTGTTCAGTCCCATACCCTTTAAGCAGATCGTAGCAGTGAGCCTATATTAAACCTTAGTTAATGAGTGCTTAATAATAATAAAGCTTGATTAATATATGATTAATACATGAAAGATCCATATATAAAGAATAAATGAAACTTAACATTAGCTGGGGTAATAATGAATATAATAGTTATACACACAGCACTGACAGAAACACGGCTGCTGAACACAGGTACCACCAGTCCCCCAACCACCACCACCAGTAGGCAAGGAGGGTTAAGAGTCTTGCTCAAGGACACAACAACAGGGCGTGATCCTGCAACCCTGCGATTATGAGATGGGCACTAGACTCCTGTGCCACCGCGGTGCTTACAGGGTTAAAATGTGAACCATGTTTCTATATTTAAATATGTAAAACATGTATAAGGGTCAGAGGTTTGTCATGATTTATTCTTCATCTTTTAAGTTAATTTTCATAAAAATTAACTTTTGCCTAATCAGTGATTTTTAAAGTCTGCTCAGTGACTTGAATCAAAGTGCTCCAGTCTGTTTGAAGCATCTTTAGCTCACAGCTGAGAGCCACTCTTTTCTCTGTCATTGCTGATTTTTTAAATGAGCATCTAAACTCTTGTTCTTTTCCACAGATGTGGCTTCTAGTGATTCTAGCTGCCATTTAACAGCTGAAGACAAAGACTTTGGACACTTGTTGTCCTCCAAGGCTTTCTTGACTTTCAGATTTGACAGAGATGCCATCATGAAATGTTTTGATTATTGATGCACTTGTGAGTCTTTTCAAGATGTTGTTGTCTTGAGCACAAAGAGACGGGTTTCCTTAAGATGTCCCATTGGTTCAGACATCTGAAACGACCTCTAATGCACCTGAGCTGCGTTCAGTCTGGACACGACTTTACCGACCCTAAAGTCTGCAGGAGAACACTCCCCCTGAAGGAGGGGACTCCTCACTCGTATTATTGTAAAGGCATGACATTCTACAGTCAAGAGAACCAAAAGGATCTTAAACCCAAACATGGCCGCAAAAATGGGTTGAAATGAGGACAGAACAACAAAAAAAGTGATGTGAGTGTAAATTTGGTCAATGAGAATTTGACTTACTGTTGGTTTTAAGATTTGTTTAGGAAAAACTTCTACAGGCTGAAGGACAGGTCAGTCAAGAGTTTGAGCTCTTAAGTTATGCAGTTTGTAAAAAAACAAAACAAAAAAAAAAACAACTATTGACTCAATTTGATTTGACAAGTTACAGAAACACAAAGCGTCAGCCGGTGTATTATTCTTCACCCCTTTCCTTTGTTTTTGCATTTCATTAGCAAATCAATCTTTGCTCATTAACTTTTTTCTACACATGAGGGAATGTCCCCAGCAGCTTTAATTCACCATTTAGCTGCTTTTTTTTTTTTTTTTTTTTTTTACCAATTCTGGAATCAATGATGCAATTTTACAGGCTTAAAGAAACAGGACCTTTAGTCTGAGTCTAAAATTTACCACAGTCTGCTTGTAAATGTTTGTTGGTCAGATTTAGGTTTTACTGGTGTTCTTGTCTTTATTACTGACATGGTATTAGGTTTTATAACGAGATTCAGAATGTAACAGAATATTACATTTTGAATAAGAAACGTTTCTTCTCATCGCATCTTTTCCCTTGCCTTATGCGACTAAATTCATGCAGCACTGTTTTATACAAGCACATAGTTGGTAAATCAAAGTCAAAAGAAGATCATTGCATTAAACTGATGTTTGAAACTCTATAAATAATCCAGCATGTTAAAAAAAACAGCACCTTTAGTGACATACACAGTTTGATTTTGTTTCAGATCATTCACAATCTCCAGTTTAAGAGTCAAGCCTGTTTTGTTTTTATTCAAAAGTTGGGTTTATGGCAGAAAATGTTTTATTTGTTTTTTTTTTGTTGCCTTTTTTGCAAGTACAAAAATGAGATAAAATGAACATTCAAATGAATTGTATAGTTCTTACATTTGTGTTTGTGTGGATTTTTAACAGTTTTGACGAAACATTAATGGGTTTTAAGTCAGTCGTTAGATTATTGGACCAAAAGTGAGCAGAATACAGAGTGTAAAAAGTGTTCTTTCAAACAAACAAATACAAAAACAATTTTCATACAGAAGACCACGTTCTGCTACCTTTATTTCTGTGATCTGAAAGCAGAATTCAGACCACCGCACTTGTTTTTATTCCTGCTTAGGCTTGTGTTTGTTCATTGTGGTGATCTGAAGCTGCTCTTGTTTCTCATGTTTTTACTCTGAATGTGAATCCTAATAAAGGCGTGTTGTTCTTGTTTAACTGTCTAACTATTGACTGTGACTTTAGTTGCTCTGGTAAATATGTTTTTACACAGGAAGTTTACTTGTACACACCAAACAACAGGAGTTAAGACGTTTGTAAATTTAATTATTATTGAGCATTTTTAAGAGACAGTTTGATTTGATGACTGCGTCCAAACTATCAGTACATGCTGTAATTCAGAAGCATCCATCCATTCATCCATTTTCAGCCGCTTATCCGGGGTCGGGTCACGGGGGCAGTAGCCTAAGCTGAGAGTCCCAGACTTCCCTCTCCCCAGCCACTTGGGCCATTTTCTCCACAGCAATCCCAAGGCGTTCCCTGGCCAGCCGAGAGACCTGGTCCCTCCCGTGTGTCCTGGGTCTTCCCTTGGGTCACTCAGTTGGACGTGCCTGGAAAACCTCACCAGGGAGGCATCCTGACCAGTTGCCCGAGCCACCTCGATGCGAGGAGCAGCGGGTCTGCTCCGAGCCCCTCCCGGATGACCGAGCTTCTCACCCTATCTCTAAAGAAGGGCCCAACAACCCTGTGGAGAAAACTCATCTCGGTCACTTGTATCCGTGATCTCGTTCTTTCTGTCACTACCCAAAGCTCATGACCATAGGTGAGGGTAGGAATGTAAATCGACCGGTAAATCGAGAGCTTTGCCTTCTGACTCAGCTCTCTCTTCACCACGATAGACCTGTACAACTCCCTCATCACTGCAGATCCAGCACCAATCCGCCTATCGATCTCACGCTCCAGTTTTCCCTCACTCGTGAACAAGACCCCGAGATACTTAAACTCCTCCACTTGGGGCAGGACCTCATCCCTGACCCGGAGAAGGCATTCTACCCTTTTCCGAATCAAGACCATGGTCTCAGATTTAGAGGAGCTGATTCTCATCCCAGCTGCTTCACACTCAGCTGTGAACTGCTCCAGCGAAAGCTGGAGATCACGTTCTGATGAAAACAACAGGACCATATCATCTGCAAAAAGCAGAGACCTGATCCTTAGGCCACCAAAACGGATCCCCTCAACACCTTGGCTGCGCCTAGAAATCCTGTCCATAAAACTTATGAACAGAATCAGTAACAAAGGGCAGCCTTGGTGGAGTCCAACTAACCAGAAACGAGCTCAACTTACTGCCAGCAGTGCGGACCAAGCTCAGACACCGGTCAAACAGGAACCTAACAGCCCGTATTAAAGGGCCGGGTACCGGGGAGGCTCAGTGAGGTTAATTCAGAAGCAGTTTATTCTTACTGCTGCTGGAAGGTGCAGAAAAATGCCAAAGATCTCTTAAAATACAATGGTTCTAATAAGTATTTTGTCAACCACCAATTGTGCAAGTTCTCCCACTTAAAAAGATGAAAGGCCTTTAATTTTCATCATAAATGTATCTCAAATGTGAGGGACAAAACGAGAAAAAAAATTGATTTTTAAAGAGTTTATTTGCAAATGATGGTGGAAAATAAGTATTCATTTAAAAAAAGATGAAAGTCCATTTCAGTACTACCCTTTGTTGGCAATGACAGAGGTCAAACATTTTCTGTAAGTCTTCTAAAGGTTTTCACACACTTGCTGGTATTTTGGCCCACTCCTCATCAGGAATACATATAATATATATACATTATAATAATATTTGCCATCTGTGCTCCGCTCGCCACCTCCTCTAGTCAGGAGTCTTCTACAGGGGGAAGTTTTCAATCACTATAAACTCCCAAAAGTCCAGCAGAAACACCCAAAAGTGTTGCTCAGATTGAAGCTACACATCTCCACTATCTTCTGGTGGTGTAAACTAATAACTTCATTTAACTTGGCTCGTTAAATTCAATATCGCAACTTTGGCACTGGCAATTGAAGGGTTGATTTTACAGTCCTAATGCTATGGTTCTAATTATTAACTTAATAATTTGCCGCTATCCAGCATATTTTATTTTCAACCCTGAATGATCACACCTGATTTCAGTCAGCAGGTGATTAACGGGCTTCTGTAGAGCCTGATGAGCTGCTGAACAGGTGGGTCAACCACTGAATCAGAAGTGTTGGAGCAAAGACGTGCAGGATACCGGCCCTCGAGGACCAGGGTTCCCCACTCCTGCTGTAGAGTGTCTTACTTCTTTCCAGAAATCTTTTGTGTTGTTAGAGTTTCAGAGCCAGAGACTCAGCTCTCATAGCTTGATCATTGGACCAGGACTGGAATGTGTGTTGCAAAGTTCATGTTCTTTTGATACTATTTGTAACTTTTGTATAGTTGTGATTGCAAATATAGATTTGTTTTTAAAAAAGGACTTGTTTACTTCCTGCATATTTTTTAGATTAGGACATTTATATTTTATACTTTGTTCACACCATTGTTATTATTGTCTCCTGTTTCTGTTTTCGTGATTATATTGTCTCTTGCGCTTTAGCGTGTCAGATTGTGCTCATTTCATTTGATCTTATCTGTACAATGTTTTTTTTTCACCTCTGTGAATTGGACTGAGTCTTGACTTGACTTTTATTTTGAAAGAGTTGAAGCGGCCGGTCAGCGGATGTAGCGTCATCTCTCTCGGTTTCGGATGCTTCACACCAGCTTCACACACACTGACGGCGACAAACCGGGGGCTGTAGTTAAAAGTTAACTACGTTCCATCCAGAGGTGAGGATTGAAGTCGAGATTAGTTAGTTTACGGAGTTCTTTACTAATGAACACAACTCGTCCGCTACACGTAAAAGTCGCACGTGCTAGCTTAGGTTACAACTTCAACATCGAGGCGCAGTTATCTTGCTGTCCCGGTTTTATGATTATTTTATGGTTTCTAGCAACGTTTTCTTCTAAATGCCCCCAAAAAACAATTTCAACAAAAATAAAACCCTGAAGTACATATTATATAACACATCCATGGTTTTGTTGGAGCTAGTGAGAAATATTGACTGTACATACAAATACACTGTCCGGCCAAAAACAAGTCACCACCACCGCGGTGAAGTTGGCTTGCAGTTGGAGTTTGGAAATTCCAGACATTGGTTCTCACGGTCAACGGTATCCCTTAATCAAATCCCTTAATTTATGAAAAAAATCCTAATAAAAAAGATCAGATAGTGTGAAATGTGTTAAAATTGTTGTGTCAGATGAATTTTGGGCCATTTAGGCAATTATTCTGGAAGCTTTTGATTTTTTTTTGTACTCGTTTACAAAGGACTACAAATTTGTTGATAGTCCCTAAGCGACCCACCGTTACCCTTGGCGAGTCCTCGGAACTCTGCTAACCGCCGTCTGTGCCGGTGTTGTGCCATAAATCGACTCACTGCCAAAAAATGATTAGCTTAGTTTTGTCCAGTTCGGAAGTTGTTTTAAGTGTTGCTATTTGTCTTAAACGTTCGCAATGAGGATATATTAATCCTTTTTGCAATATTTGCGATTGAAAGATGGTTTGTGGTAAGAACTGGCTTTCTTTATGTTACGGCCTTGATACTAAAAAAATAAATAAACAATGTAAAATGGCGCCCTGTATTGAATGTAAACGTTGTATAAATGTAAATAAACAATTCTCCAGCGATTTGATTTTTTCCCCTTCCTTTCTTTAGTGGCTAATAATTTTTTGGCAGCGAGTCGATTTATGGCACAACACCTGAACGCACGGCTTAAAGAGTGGGGACCAGTGTCTGTTGAATATTCAACTTCCAAATTTAAGCTAACTTCACCGCGGTGTCACAACCTGGATTTAACTACGCAAACCGGTAGGAGCCTCCTATTGGATAATTATTGCGTGGGCGATTATCTTTCAGCTGGCAACAAATTATTTAACATCAACTGGTGCAATGAGTAGCTTCTCATCTCTTAAACAACCACGTGGAAAGATGTTTGTTTGAAAACATCTAACGAGATTACAGAAACAAGTAAATCTGGGTTCAGAACTGTCCAATGTATTATTAAAAACTGGTCTGATGAGTCCAGAAGGACCCTGTTCCAGAGTGATGGGTGCATCAGGGTAAGAAGAGAGGCAGATGAAGTGATGCCTAGTGCCTACTCATGTGCCTACTGTACATGCCTGTGGGGGCGGTGCTATGATCTGGGGTTGCTGCAGTTGGTCAGGTCTAGTTTCAGCAACAAGTTGTGCTCCAAGAATCAGGTCAGCTGACTACCTGAATATACTGAATGACCAGGTTATTCCATCTTCCCTGATGGCACGGACATATTCGAAGATGACAATGCCAGGATTCATCTGGCTCAGCTAGTGAAAGAGTGGTTCAGGGAGCATGAGACATCATTTTCACACATGGATTGGCCACCACTAGAGTCGAGCATCGATTGGAACTGGGACCAACTGTTAGTTTTTCCCGGAATCGTTAAAAGTTTTTTATTTCAATTCCTATTTTCGATTTCCAGTATGCCGACTGGAAGAGGAATCCGCGGCCGATCTCCGTGAAAAATAAACGTGATCTGCAAATTCTGATCAACGCTTTTCAGAGCTGATCACACCAGCTGTCTGTGTGCAGCATCAAGTCCCCCTTCCCCCCACCCCGCGCATAGCGGCTAAATATAAAAAAAAAACACGTCTGCCGAACTTTTACTCCGTGATGTAAACTTTAACTCCTGCAGAGGAAACTTGTTGAAATACATCAACATGGTGGATTTAATAGAAGCTTTAAAGAACAAACTCTGGGTGGTGTGGGGTGAGTTTGTCTCACTGCAGAAATCAAAACACACACGGAGCGTCAGCAATCAGACGCAGCCACTCACCAACACTCGTGTGCGTGAGCGTCAGAAGGCTGAACAATAACCTGTAGAATAATTAAAGTCATCATGCTAGAGCAGCTTTCTCTGTGGTGGACGACACCAGGTTCTGCCACAATAAATAATAATAATAATAATAATAATAAATCACACACAAAGTTGTGAAATTTTAAATTTCCTTTTTGAACTATTTCTGTTGAGAGTTTTAATGTTTAAAATCTGTTAGATTGTTACTGACAGCAGCTACATTTAAGTATCACTTTCTGTTCTGACTGAAAGCTGCTGCAGCATGGAGGTGTAGTTCTCAGTCATCCTGGACATGATCATCCTGAGAGTTTTAGCTTTAAACAGCTGGATGTTTCTGGATATGTTGGAGACATTTAGCCTCTCATCCCAGAGGCTTCTTCCAGACTTTGGTTGTGCTGCAAGTCTTTTTCTTTTTTTTCTCCAAAACATGTTTTTGTCTAAATGAAGGTGATGTTATTGTTCATAGAATTAAAATTCATGTTGAAGTTAAGATTGTTTCATCAAGCTGTGGTTAGCTGGCTAATGTAAAACATGTCTTGTCTTGAAAGAATCGGAATCGGGAATCGATAGGAAAACGAGGAATTGCAACCAGAATTGGAATTGTTCAAAATCAAATGATGCCCAACCCTAGCCACCACAGAGTCCAGACCTCAACCCCATTCAGAGTCTTTGGGATGTGCTGGAGAAGGCTTTGTGCAGCAGTCAGACACTACCATCATCAGTGCAAGATGACACATTAGTGCAACACTGGATGGAGATAAATCTGACATTGCAGAAGCTTATCGAAACAATGTCGCAGTGAATGTGTGCTATAATCAACGCTAAATGCGGTCCAACGAAATATTAGATCGTCACGCTCTCAGTGTGAGACCATTCTTTTGGGTGGTGGCTGTTTTTTGTTTATTTTTTTGTGCTGGGTAGTGTTTGACATAATGGTAATAAATTCCGCCTAAAGTAGAAAGTTGCTATAGAAAACGGAACATCAGCTGTCCAATTAAGCATGTTGGTTCTGTTTGTGTATTTTTACACAATCACAGTTTAGGTTTTATGATTTTCGTTGTTTGGCTAGCAAGGCTGCTGGGTCCTCTACACACTACAGACAAAAAACAAAACACCTCTATCTAATACAAAATTTAGCAGCTAACCTCCTTCTGTACCATTAGATCCTGCATCGTTATAGCGACGTGTTCCTTCTGGTAAAGTTTGGGTCAGTTGTAAGATTTACCTAATTTACATCTTTTAGAAATTTGTTTTAAAAGTCTCAGAGTGTCTTTTTCTGTCTCATCTAAAGACATTTTCAGTGATTAGTTAAAACAACACTTGCTAGCCAACCTCAACAGGTCTTTGTTGTGTTGTATCTTCAAACGAACTTAATGTCAGTCACTGAAAGTGGAACAGATTTGTTATTTTTATACAGTAAAGATGAGCTGATTCTCATGTGATGCTTTTGCAATTGAGATAATTCAAGAAAGTGTTTTTTTCCCCAAATCTATCATGTGATGAATTCATTCTAGCAGTAAATATTTTTTTGACTTAAGATGTTTAACTTCTTTAATTAGTAGGTTACTTAGTTCAAACTGATAAGCACAATAAAGATAGAAGTACAATGTTCAAAGAGCATTGCAATAACAAAACCCACATTTACATGTTAGTGTAACTATAACATGGTGAGTTTCATAAAAAATCTTTAGTTTGCACTAGTCTCACAATTTTGTGGCAAGGTACAAAAAGATCCCGTTTAAAAACCCTAGCTGCCATGTTTCTGTCTGAGCCAGTAAGAGAACCTATGGGGTAAGTTGGCTGTTTTCTGTTCACAGCTTACAAAGAGAAAGAAATAGCCTGATAAGAGCCTGTTTTTGTCTGTACTGTGTAATTTGTTTTAATAATTCAATAAAACATAAACACTTGGATTGGAACTTATATTTTGTTCCCCATACCAATCAGAGTATTTGTTGTAGTAATGTAGTTTATCTTCCTATACATCCCCATTTCGGTACAATGTCAGTTACCCACTGAGTCCAAGGTGTTGTGCTTGGAAACAAGTGCTATGGGTTGTGTTGTAGTGCTGCCTTTGCCATCATTTCTTAACTTCCTGATCCCAGTTATGATGAGACATAGAATCTCAGAGATCTGTCATTTATTTTTGGAAAACCAAGGTTGATAAATACTTTTGTTTCTCATGCTTGATACTCTTTAGTAAGATGTTGTCTTGTGTTGCAGCACAACATGTTTAATGCTCCTAGGGCCACAATGAAACCATCCAAGAATAAGAAGTCATCACATCATGGCTCCAATTCCAGTGAATCCAAAGAAATTCACATTGATGAAGGAGTCAAGATCGCAGTGAACCTCTCTTTGGAGAGGTTTTGCTACAGTGACCAGAAAGGTAACATCTGTTAACCCTAATTGTTGTATGTACCAATTTTATTTAGTCTGATTCTAAATTTATATGTGCATTTTTTCTTGTAAATATGTCTCCAACTAATTTCCCTCTGGGATTAATAAAGTATCTTTGATTTGATTTGAACTAGTCGCCAACAGTCTCAGCCTAGCAAGTAAGAAGCGAAACTTTCTAAAAGTGTGAAATTTGCCATTAAAAATGATGTAGGGGCCTTTATGGAGCCAGAGTACATGGTATGATGTCACTATTAACAGAATCTTACTACTCTACAGCATAGTTAGTCATGTTGTTTTTCTCATGAACAGCCTGTGTGGAGTACACTGATATTTATCTTTTGCTATCTCTGAACAGAGTTGGAGTTTCCATCCTCATTTACCAGTACAGAGAGGGCGTTTGTCCATCGACTGGCTCAATCTTTTGGGTACATTTCTAAAAGCAAAGGGTAGGTTTATCTACATGGAACCTTTAGACTCCACCTCATAATCACACATAAAGGTGTTGGTTCAATGGTACACTTGAACCTCAGCAGGTCTCTTGAGTTCACCTTTTTATCATTTTAAATTGTAACAGCATGATTTTTCCTGAGTTCATAATGTAGTTTGAGAAACATTTGAATATCAGCTCTACACATTAGGTCAAAAGTTCTGTTTGTGCCTAATTCCATTTGTTAGTCTGGTCGGTTGTCAGTAGCGTCTCTTCAAGTTAAGTAGGGGACAACAGCTCAACAGCTATACATATATACAGACATGGACAAAATTGTTGATACCCTTGGGCCAATGAAAGAAAAATCCACAATGGTCACAGAAATAACTTGAATAGAATAGACTTCATTGATCCCACAGTGGGAAAATTCACTTGTATCTGGAATCTGACAAAAGTAATAATAAATACAAATTCTATGAAATGTTACCAATGAAAGTCAGGCATTGGGTGTTTCACAATACCAAGGAACCTCGCCTCGATGCCTTGGTTCCGCCCCAGTTGCCTAGGAGATGCGTCATAAGGAACCGCCAAGATGTGTTCCAATGTTCATGTTCTACCGAGGCATCTGTTCTCCGTTTGTTAGCCATTTAGCTAGCTGACCAAGGACAGGAGGTGTCTTGTAGCCTGGCCTTGGTCAAAAATTTCCCAGAAAACAGCACAGTATTTTAAAAAGGATGACGAATCAGGAACCAGCAGCTACTTCGGGTGCAAATTTCCAGTTTAAATGTAAGCCAATTAATTGTAGCTATCAGGCTGATGTCTAAAATATTTTTTAGATCCAAAGCGGTTTTCAATGGTTGGTTAGTTGCTTAGTAGTTGCAGCTTCAGTGGCTAGCAGGTAGTAGCTCGCTTACATATTTAATTTAACCAATATATACACAATTTAAAAAGTAAAAGCCTTGTTATAAATCTATTTGAAACTTATACGTATAAAATATAACTTTACCTTACGTGTCTCACAGTTGTCTCAGCTTTGAAGGGCGCCTTTTCCAAACAGCATGTTTCAGCTCCTTCCAAAGATGCTCAATAGGACTGAGGTCAGGGCTCATAGAAGGCCACTTTAGAATAGTCCAATGTTTTCCTCTTAGCCATCTTGACTGTTTTTAGCTGTGGATTTCGTGTTGTTGTCCTGTTGCAAGACCCAGCTGTGACCGGGACCAAGCTTTCTGTCACTGGCCAGCACATTTCACTCTAGAATCCATTGATGGTTTTGAGGTTTCATTGTACCCTGCTCAGATTCAAGACACTGTGCCAGATGCAGCAAAGCAGCCCCAAACATAACAGAGCCTCCTCCATGTTTTACAATAGGAACAGTGTTGTTTTCTTGATATGCATAATTTTTCTGTCTGTGAACATAGAACTGATGTGCTTTGGATAACCGTTCCATTGTTGTCTCATCTGTTCATGGGACCTTCTCCCAGAAGCTTTGTGGCTTGTCAACATCTTAGTTTGGCATAATTCAGTCTGGCTTTTTGTATGATTTGTTTTAAACGGTGTCCTCCTCGGTCATTCCCCATGTAGTCCACTTTGGCTCAAACAATAACGGATGGTGCGATCTGACACTATCCACGTTTACATGCGCCAAATTTACCCAGTCTGATTCAAATCTTGGTTAAACGGAAATCCCAAATCTCTGTTTACATGCACACTAACTGAAATGATACGATCATGCCGTGAGTTTATATGCACCAAGTATTCAATCAGATTAAATAGGTTGAACAGGTTGCACAGTTTTCTTTCCCAGAAAAAAATTTGTAAACAAATGTCATGAAACGAAATGAAAAATGTAAAAACAGAAAAAATTATTCTTCCTGCTTTTCTGATTCATTTAATCAATTTAATTATTTTATTTTGCTCATAAAAGTTACGTTTTCTTCAGTAAATAACTGCAGGCCTATGCTTTGCTGTGTTATATTGTTGACAATATTAAAATAAGGGAGGGTTATCCTTGTCTCTGCCTCTTGATCAGCTGGTCCGCGGGTCTGACGTGACGGCTGGGCGGGGGTGGGGGGTTCAGACTCATGTTTTAATACTGAGCTCTGTTGTGGCTTATTATTAATAAAATGTGACAATCAGCTGAAACTTGAGAAAATGGTTCAAACTAAATGTTGAAGAGATGTTCAGAAAGTTTGGAAGCCTGTGTTCATCATGTGTTAAACGAACCGCAGCTCATCTCATCTGCGTTAACGTGCGTTTAGTCTTCCACAACATTTAACTGAGGATGTTTTTCTACTCAACATCAGCCTCCTTAAACTCAAACCAGGTCTGTGTAACCGGCGTTACCCTGTCTTCTTTATGAGCACGTTTCCATCCACCTGCTGCAGAAACAGATGCTGCGGTCACAGAAACGGGGATCCGTGCTGCAAACCCCAAATGAATCTGCGTGTTTCCAGTACAGACTTGAACACGTTTGTCGAATGATTTGTGCAATAATCCAATTTTTATTTTACTTCCACAAAATGCAAGTTCTGGATTAGGTATTACAGAAACGAGGACAACTTGCCATCATATTTAAAAGTCGGCGCTTGTTAATTAGGTGTCATTTTTAAAGTCAGGCAGTCCAAATCACTGCAAGGAGGCTCGCTAGCTGTTGCACACATGTGCAGTGGGCATTATTTTACTCCAGCAATCCTAATGGCTGTGTACATGCACGTCAATCAGAATGATAATCGGACAAAACCACCTCTCTCAATCGGATTGAAATTTCATTCTGATCGGGCATTCAATCCGATTAATTGTGCTCATGCAAACGTGGCTACAGATGTTCCTTGAGCTTGAGGTTCACCTTGGATCTCTAGAAGTTTTTCTGGGCTCTTTTGTTACCATTCAGCTTATCCGTCTCTTTGATTTGTCATCAATGTTCCTCCTGTGACCACGTTCAGGGAGGTTAGCGACAGTCTCATGGATCTGACATTTCTGAATATGTGCTACTGTAGTCACAGGAACATCTAGCTGCTTATTGGAGATGGTCTTATAGCCTTTACCTTTAACATGCTTGTCTATCATTTTCTAATCTCCTCATGGCTGCACCTGTCACCTGACACCTGTCTCATTCAATGTGTTTTCTTTATTTTCATGACCATTTACATTGGTAGATTCTCACTGAAGGCATCAAAACTATGAATGAACACATGTGGAGTTATGTACTTAACCAAACACAACTGTCTTGAAGGAGTTCCCAGAGGTGTTTAGCACTTTTTAGCCCTTTTGTAAATGGTCGTGAAAATAAAGAAAACACATTGAATGAGAAAGTGCTCATATAGCCTTCAGATTAAAAAACAACAACTTTTTCCCCTTGTTAGCTAACAAGGAAAACCAACATGGCTGCACATGACTGTCCCACAGAACGTAAACATAACTTGAAGTGTACTATTCCAGTAATTTAATAGGATTTAATGAGCTTGGGGCTGTGGTGTTTTTGCCTCACAGCTTTTGTTGCACATGCACACTTTGATTTCAGATGTGAGGTAAATTAAAGTGAACGCAGATGGGCTGGCCCATGTCTGCTTTTTCAGCCCTGCTCTGTCAGTGTGCCCCAGGGCAGCTGTAGCTATATTGTAGCTCATCTTTTTCATCATCAGTGTGTGAATGATTGTACCGTAAAGTGCTATGGATTGAGTCCCTGACTTAGAAACACACTACACAAATGTATATTATTATCACTATTATTTTCTAAATCCTAAGTCAAACAGGCAATTCTGTGAGGTTCCTGGTGCCCTCTGGTGTGTGTGTGTGTGTGTGTGTGTGTGCTTAATGCAAGTTCAGGTTCATTTATCATTCCACTGATTATTTTAAAATATATAGAGCCTGAATGGCTCTATAGTGCCATCTGGTGAAGAAGAGTTGGAGGTTATAAAGAAAAACTAGCTGACATCTTATACATTTCATAATGACAAATAAAGCAAATATAAATGATACTGTATATTTGTCCTTGGGGAAATTATTTCTTTGCATTTGACCCATCCCTGAGGAGCAGGGGTCTGCTGTTTGTATGGCACCCAAGGAGCAACTTTAGGTGTTTAGTATCTTACCCAAGGATGCTTGGACACGTGGCTCCCCAGGGCCAGTTCAGTTTGCTTCTAAATGTTTATACCCTTCAATTTGTATACTGGAAAGGATAAAAATAAATGTATATATATTTTCTAATTCTTTTAACATAGCTGACGTGCTAATAGGGTTACAGTTCATGCACCTGTATGAGGAAGAGTAGTCATGCTGGTAAAAAGTGCATAATACATTTTCTTAGAATAAGATGGGCTGTAACTTTAATTATATTAAACACACACCATTACTTTGTGAAGTTACAATGGGCACATTTACGTTTTAAGCATTATTTTGAGGCATTTAAGTGTCAAAATGAGTGAAACAGGCGGATAACAAAAATGATTTTGCAATTAGTATCAACCCACAGGGCACTGCAGGATCCTAAATGTACCTAAATAATGGCAGATTAAGATACTAAATCTATTCTGTTACATGTTGTGAATGGTGTGTAATGGGGGGTGAGAGGAGTGGAACTTTATGTTTTCACTTTGTTTTTCAGAAAGGGAGCAAGTCGCTTCTTGACTGTAAGGAAAAAGGGTGTTTCGGCCAAGTCTGTGCGGAGCATATTCCTCACACTCTCGCCCAGTTCCTCATACTTCATCCGCAGTCTGCTTCAGAGGTTCCCCGGCAGTAAGAGGGAGCGCGCAGACATGCAGCCCAACATCAGAAGTGGCATGGCGTTGGCTGCAGAAACAGGTGTGTGTTTGTGAGAAACTTCAGCTCCTTAGAAGTGGGGATCTGTGGAATATTTTCATGAAGTCAGTGTCTTACCTGCAGCAGACAGAGATCGGAGCAATTTCATTTTGAAATTACCATTGACAGCTGTTAAGAAGAGGGCCAACTTCACTGTCAACAGCACACACCTTTAGCTATACAAATCAGTGTTGTGTATTTTTACTCAACATTACTTCGTCAGATAGTTCGGGTTTGACTACTAATGTGTGTTTTACAACACGGGTTGCACACAAAACATGTAGGAAGGAACCACAAAATCTGATGGTCTTTGTTGTCCGAGATGACTGCTCACTGCTTTATTCTGCTAAACAAGCTGAGGTTGAAACTTGCAGCTCTAATCTCTACATCACCATACCAACCATTAAATGCTAAACTGATCCTTCAAGCTCTCGGCTGAACTAGCATGAAAAGTTTGATGTTTTTGGATTTTGAAGACTCCTAAATTCACTCTTAAATGAGCCTTGCTCTTATTAGCTGTTAGCTTGATTCCCTTTCTCAGATTCTCTAGCCTGGAATCGCTCCAACACTGCAGATCAAACACAAACGACTCCTGAGTGACGGACTGCGTCCTACCTGATTGTGTCCTTTTCCTATTAGAAAACGGTTTTGACAGGAACAGGGCGAGTGGGCGCCTGAACAACGGCATTCCTATGGTCCCTCAGAAGAGGACTCCATCAGACCTAGACAGCTTTCGGTGCTCACTGCCCGTGTACGAGCAGCAGGAGAGGATTGTCCAGCTGATCAGAGAAAACAGAGTGGTACTTATTGTGGGAGAGACCGGCTCTGGTAAAACTACTCAGGTGGGTCAGACGCGCTAAAGACAGCACATTTCCTGTTTGTGTCGACTCTTTCCTCAGATGTCTTGCATGTCTTAAAATGTTGAGGTGTTTTGTTTTAGAAGCTTTTTGAAGTGTTGTCATCATTTGATTGATACATAATGTAATTAGTTTGGTGCTTTACAGACTTTATGCACAGTGACCCAAACTAGAATTAGGATTAATGCTGATCCCCAGTGAATAACCATTCTTTACTTTAGTGACCCTTTTACAGTACATCTAATAGCGTAGCATGATCACATCTGAGTTATCTATTGAAAATCTTCAATGATGGCACAAACTACAACATCAATGAGATGAAAGGATGTATTTGAGGTTGTTTGGAGAGATCACAACACAGAAAATAGTAATGTTAAGTAATTGACTTCAAGCTTTATGTCTTTAAAAATTTGAAGGGGAGAACGTTTAGCAGTAGGATTGGCAGGGACTTAGATAACAGAAACATCAAGTAAAACCTATTCTCCATATGTGTGTTTTCCAGATTTCACAGTATTTGCTTGATGATAGCAGCAGGAAAGGACAGCCCTGCAGGATTTTCTGCACTCAGCCCAGACGCCTTGCTGCTATTGCCGTAGCTGAGCGAGTGGCAGCCGAGAGAGGGGAGAGCGTGGGTCAGACTGTTGGTTATCACATCAGACTGGAGAGCAGGTACGGCTAAATCAGAACTGGTTCTCAGACAAAAAAGGTGACATAAAATGTGTCTCAAGAGTCATCTGTGAGCATTAGGAGCACGTTTTTTGTTTCTGAAATGGAAAAAAATTTAAATCCTGATCTTTGAAATCTCAGGGTTTCTCCAAAGACTCAGTTGACCTTTTGCACAAGTGGAGTCCTCCTCAGAACGCTGATGGCAGGAGACACCAGCCTTACGACGGTCACTCATGTCATTGTGGTAGGCGACTTGTAAACTCTGAGAATCAGATCTATTTTAGCTGGATTTTAGTTGTGAAGCATCTAAGCACCGACATGCCAGAGTAATTTTCTCAACAGGATGAGGTGCACGAGCGTGATGGCCTGACTGACTTCCTGCTCACTAAGTTGCGAGATGTGCTGCAGAAGATTCCCACGCTTAAATTAATCCTCTCCAGTGCAGCGTTGGATACAGACCTGTTTCTTCAGTACTTTGGCTTCTGCCCTGTAATCCAGCGTGAGTTCATCTTGGTTTGTGTTATCTGAGCTACAACTAGCTGTTATGCTCTACCCTCTACATTTTATTTTCTTCACCCTTAATCTTTGACTAAATCAAAATTGCAGAATGATAAGGTGGGATCTTGGCACCTGTCCCAGGATTATTAGACAGTGTAAACAAACTAAAGACATCTAAGAAAGGTCTCTGTCTCTGAGGGCATCAGGACAGCCACACTTATGCCTACTGCACACTGGAAGCAAAAGCGGTGATGAACACCAGCAGAAAGGTTTACTCGCAACAATCACAGCACTCAAGAGTCTCAGCAGCGAAGCGGCTTCTCTGCCGTGCTCCTCGCTCGACTCACAAGATCACAACATCCCTCGAGACTTCAAAGGTTACAGTTTGTTTATGCAATCCGCCATGAAGCCAAAAAAGAAGGAAATCACATTTTATATTGCTGTTTGATGTCATACGTGTTGTTCCTCTCCACCACCAGGATTAAAGCTGTGAAAACACATGGCTGCACTTATGGAATGATGCTGTGAGTAAATAAGCTGTTGGGTCACATGCAAGCTTCATCTATATAAAATATCATTGCTGCAGTACTTTTATTTTGAAAATTACTAGGGATTTTACACTGCAACCGTGTGTGATTTCTTGTGTTAACTGCGATAATTGACGCATCCCAGAAGCTGCTTTCAGAGAAAATAGATCCCATCTTTAGTGGAGCGGCGTGCTGCTTCTCGGACGAGTCTAAAAATTGCCGCGGCGTGGCTGGTTAGTTGCACTCCATAGACTATAGTGGATTTAATTTGAAGCGGTGCCGTTTCGTTGCCGTTCCGCACCACTTTTGCTTCCACTGTGCAGTTAAACATTTCATCACCTGGTGCCTTCCACACCTGAGTTTTAAACTAAGAAGTTCATATATTATGGACTCAGTCATTTTGGTCAAATCCTGGAAATACAATTTGATATTAACAAGGTAATTAAACAAACGGGGTCGAGTCCAAAGTTCATGCAAAGATCTTTTGAGTCATGTAGCATTTTGAGGGTTTCTGTTTAACTCAATATCTGTAAAACTGATTAAGTTCAACATGTTGTCTGCTCTGGTGGATCAGCTGTTGTTTTTATCAGGTTGCATTTAAAAGTTCCTGAGTTGTTGTTAATCCATTTCTGAGAGTTTCATTAGAATATTTTGCCTTTTTATTTTTAATTGTCAGTGATTTTAACATTCATCCTTGCTGCAATGCACGACCCATGGTCAAGGACTTTTTAAATCTTTTAATCTGCTGCTGTGGGTTACTGGCCCAACTCACAAAAAGGGCCTCACACTTGTTTTAGTTTTGTCACACTGACTGGACAGAAGTATTACTGATATAACAGATCTCGGTATCACAGATCATTTTCCTGTTCATCTTCACTGTTGAACTGCGCAGTGGAGAAGCTGTGCGCTCCAGTGTGTAGAAGACTTTTAAAAGATGCAGCTGTGTCGGACTTTTCTGCCGCTTTTGCTACCTCTCGACTAATAGGCTCTAAATCTGATTGTGTTGACGACCTGGCAGACTGCTTTAACAGAACCTGTAATGTAATTCCTCTCTTTGGAAGAACTATCAGCAATGGATTGTCTTCTGCCTCTTTTTAAACAAGCCTTCAATAGTGTTGCATCCGTCATCCAAAAGCTAATCAACTGTTCCCTTTCTTCCCTCTGTTGTTCCACAGTGTTTTAAACTGGCTGTTATCCATCCACTCATAAAAAAAACACAATCTAGATCCCACCTGTCTTTCAAATTTTTGGCAAATTTCTAAACTCAGTTTTCTTTCCAAAGTCCTTGAGAAAGTAGTTCATTCTCAGCTACAGGATTATTTGACTCTAAACGACATTTCAGAAAAATTCCACTCTGGTTTTAAAACACGCCATAGCACAGAGAGTGTTCTTTTACGTGTTTTAAGATGTCCTCAGAGACATTTTAATTAGCGATTCTGGAAATTCAGCCACCTTATCATTACTACATCTGTCAGCTGCCTTTGATACCATTGACCACGGCATTTTGCTGTCTCGTCTGGAGTTGTGTGTTGGTCTCAAAGGTACTGTGTCCTTCAGTGGTTTCGTTCTTACCTACAGGACAAGTCATTTTCAGTGAATTTGAGCCCCTTCAACTCTATTTCAGCACCCCTGACCAGTGGTGTTCTCCAAGGTTCCATCCTAGGACCCATGCTTTTTACATTATACTTGTTACAACTATGTTCCGTTTTTGAAAAGTACAATATCACATTCTGCTATTTTGCTGATGACCTTCAAATTTACTAGCCTCTTTTCCCAGACAAAATAGTTTCTTTAGTAGGTTGCCTGAGCGAGATTAAGCAATGGATGTCCCTCAACTTCTTAAAGCTAAATGACTCAAAGATGGAGATTTTACTCTTTGGTGATCAGAATCTCCTGGACGATGTGGTCAGTCTTCTCGGCCCTTGCTCGTCCTTGATAAAGTCATGTGTGAAATATGTTGGAGTTTTGATGGTTCTTTCTGGCTGAAGAGGCAGGTGAGCTCAGTAGTCCAATCAAGTTTCTATCATCTAAGACTGTTAGCAAAGGTTAAACAGTATCTTCCTGCTGAAGTTTTTGAGTATGTCATCCATCTGTATGTTTCCTGTCGTTTGGACTACTTCAACTTACTTTACTTGGGCCTGGAACAGCTGGTTCAAAATGCAGCAGCACGCTTGTTGACTGGCACCATAAAGCGTGACCATATAACCCCAGTGTTGGTATCTCTTCATTGGATCCTTGTGTACTACAGGAATCCTTTTTAAAGTCCTCCTCTTTGTTTGTACATTTGTTCATGGCTCGGCTCCACCATACATCAAAGAGTTACTGTCCATCTACACTCCTGTTAGAAACACGAGCTCTAGCTCGCAGTCTTTCTTAATTGTTTCAGAAACACTTTTTAAAACTCGGGGGGATGGGGCTTTCTCTGTGGCTGGTCCTAGGCTGTGGAACAGCCTTCCTGTGACTCCCAAGAACCACACAAAACAGAGCATTTCAAAGCATTACTTAAAACATACTTATTTGATCTGGCTTTTAATTAGAGATGTCCCATTCTGATTTTGATATCGGAAGCAATTCAATATCGGCCCAAAAACAGTGTATCGGATTATTTCGGGTGGCATCAAAAACCTCCAATATATGCAAGGTTCACATTTTTGCAACCAATGGTTAAGAAAAAATGGTAATTTTTTTCATACTTACTTTTATTTGCTCTTGTTCTCTGATTGAGTAATATCACTTGATCACGCCTTTCATACATTCCACACTACGAAATAGATAAAAGTATGTTTGATTTTTGCTGATATCGTAGCAGATTGATATCGGTATCGGTCAATACCGAGGGCTGTAATATCGGTATCGTATCGGAAGTGAAAAAGTTGTATCGGGACATCCCTACTTTTAATGCCAGTTGACTTGAGTAGTTAACTTTTGTTTTATTTGACTTGTATTTTATGTTTATGTTTATGTTTATTCATTTAGCAGATGCTTTTATCCAAAGCGACTTACAATTTATAACCTATAGGGCATGTTGTGATCTGTGGGGGGAAACCGGAGTACCCGGAGGAAACCCACGCATGCATGGGGAGAACACGCAACTCCACGCAGAAAGGCTGCAGCCGAGTTTCGAACCTGCAACCTTCGTGCTGCGAGGCAACAGTGCTAACCACAGGGCCACCATGCATTATACTCTCAGCATTAAATGCATTTTTTACAAACTTAAACCTAGATTTTAACCACAATTTGTTCTTGATTGTGTTTTATTTTTTCTGCCCTTGTTCAGCACTTTGGGGTCGCCTACATGACTGTAAATGTGCTATATAAATAAACTTGACCTTGACCTTTTGACAGCTGTAAGAGCAAAACAGTTTTAATGTCTGTCTGTGGTAAGCTTCGTTACATAGACTGTGATGTCACTGTCTCCTGAAACGTGAACATTTTGTTTCTGCAGTGAAAGGAAGACAGTTTGATGTGAAGGAACTGTTTTTGGAGGATATTTTGAGGCTGACCGGATTTAACAGAAAGGACGTCTCAAAATACGCAGAGGAGACGCAGAGACGTAAGAATCGTTATTGTTAAATTAATCTAAAGCTTTAAGACTGTCTTCATCCCACCTTATCGTTCTGTGTTTATTGGCCTGTTCAGAGGAGAAAAAGCAAAAATGTTTGACGGAGTGGTGTGAGGCAGTGGAGTTATGTGCTGAGGACAAACGGAACAACCAGATGTCAGCACCCTCCTTCCTTCATGATGGGGACTTTGAGGATGAAGAGGACAGCAGCGTCTACAAGCTGGTAATCCAAACACTTGTTCTAGCCAGAATATCTAGCCTAGGATGGTTTTCCTTTTTCTCAGAAGAATCCTCAGATTGTAGCTTGGGTTAATTTAGAGAGGATTGTTGAGCAGAAACCGACTTCATGAATTCGAAAAAACATGAACAATTAATTTATAAAGAATTTGCAGATATGTAGCACTCAACGGATGCAAGAAAAGTTCATTTGTCTATGGTCCCTGATCATGTTCAGGTATGTCAGCATATCTGAGACTCTGAGTGAAGGATTGTGGGAACGAAGTTTGATCTCCTTGCATTTAAAGGTACAGTCCGGAGTATTTTTAATCAGATGTCACCATCTAGTGGCTGACTAATACCAAGCACGTTAAACTAAGGTTTTCACTTTAATAATTACGGCCAAAAACAATCGTTCATGAATGCGCACCTGTAGCTGACACACAGAACCAAAGTACATTGTTTTACAATTATTATTCTCGTGTTATGATGTTTATTTGTATATAGAGATTTTAAAGACTTACTCATTCATGAGAAAGGTTGCCAACTCGGCATCAGCCTAAGTAAACCCTCAGATGTTCACTCTTGCCCTGTGATGGACTTATGTTTGTAGGTGGTAGTCTAAAGCCATTGGTTAATGCTGAAAGGCGCTCAGCTCAAATTGCAAGGGATCTATGGGACGGGTAATGGATATTAGCAAAAAGTAGAAGACATACTGCCTACATTATATCACAGTAAATGTACAATAAGGCAATCACTTACACTGATTTCTAAAAAATCCATACGTAAATCCTGAAAGGGGGAAAACTCTGGAATGCAGCTTTAAGGAAAAGGACTTGCTTTTTATTGTTTACTCTGTAAAAACTCAACAGCTAGCGTAACATCATCAAGAAGAGGAATAAAAAAATTATGAACAGCCATAGCTCCCACCCTCGCTCCCCTTCCCACACCTCACACCACCCACGTTCGCACAAATAGCTTCTAGTACTAGTAGAAATTAATGTTTTTAAATCAGTCAATCAAGTTTATTTATGTAGCGCTTTCCAAACCTGCAAATGTGCAGAAAGCACTAAACGCATCATAATGTTTCTGCTATCACACACCTAGAATCTGGTGGTTCATAACTGGCAACAGCCACGAAACTCGTGGAACGGCAGTGAGAAAGAAATACGTTTGCTCAAAGTTGACTGTAGTAACCACATTTAACTCAATTCCTTTGTATGGCAAGCACATTCGAAGAAATTGACAAATAAAGTATTCTATTCTATTCTATTCTATTTGATTCTTACAAATTGCACCTTTAAATTGATCTCATATATTGACATGAAAAGAAACCTGATATTTATTAACTGTTTTAAATGACCCATTTATGATTGTTCTTTGTGCAGTGCTTTGGTCAGCTCACATGCTGTGTTTAAATGTGTTATATAGATAAAATGGTATATTACAAAGTAATAAAATCCTACATTTGGTTGAAAAAAATCCCACAAATTTCAGGATTAGTCAGAATTTTGCCAAGAAAAATAACTTTAAATTATTTCTGAGATTTGTAAATTATAAATCTGCAAGAAAGAGTCAAAATTTGTCAGAGAAATAAACCCTCTATTTTAAAGAACATTTTGTTGTAATAGAAAAAAGTGATACTGCTTGTTTATGTCTGCATGATTGTGATGAAACATTTCTGCTCTGCGTAACTTGATTCATCCACATCTGTCCTGCTGAGTAAAACATCACGTGATGTTCACAGGACAACGACGGTGCTGAGCAGCCTGAACCCTGGCTGGTGAAGGAGATGGACTCCTGCATTTCCAACATTTTTCTACACAACGACCAGGAGGCTTTCAGTCAGCTCCTCAACCTCATCCTCAATGAATGTATTCCTGGTGAGGTTCCCACACAGCCATGGCTCACATAGATGTTCACACGCATAATAAAAATAAAAATAAAAGTCATTTTAGTATAAAACAAAGACAAAGTGAACTTATTTAATATGCTCACATATGACACTGGAAGGTGCTGTGTCAGGGAACTTCAGCAGCATAGTGTGTAAAAAGCAAGCAGACTGGTGATGATGTAGATTTAACATGAACAATGACAGGGTATCTGCAGGTCCTTAAAAAGTCTTAGAAAGTCTTAAATTAGCTTTTCCAAATTTAAGGCCTTAAAAATCCTTAAAAATGACAAATAATCCTTAAATAGTTTCCAAAGGTCTTAAATTACCAAAGACCCAATAAACAAGATTCTTTTATTTCTATAAAATTTTCGTGAATTTCTAGTTAGTTTGGCATTTTTTGTGTATGATACTGGCGTAAGCGGAACCGTACACATTCGGTTGGTTGTGAAAGGGGGCTATTTTTAGATGAGCATGCTAGTGGGAGTTTGCGCCATGGGGAATACATGGCAACATTAATGGTAACTGGATGGCTAATGCCATGTTCACGACGTGGTTAGCACCAGATCCAGGCAATAGCTGGAAATTATAGCTTAAATTTAATTAAAAAAAAAAAAAAAAAAAAGCTTAAATTTGGTCAAAGTGGCCTTAAAAAAGGTCTTAAAAAGTCTTAAATTTGGCACCCTTAAACCTGCAGATACCCTGCAGCTAAACTCTAGTTTTTTTGTGCATATTGGTATTTAAACTGCTGCTGATTTGGATAAAGGCTCTTGCTTTTGCCCGTGGTCTAGTGGACTACATGCACAGTGAGACGGGGTCCACGGCCTTGATGGTGGCAGCAGGAAGAGGATTCACGTCACAGATACAGCAGCTGCTCAGTCTGGGGGCTGACATCAACTTGAAGGCTGCTAACGGATGGTGGGACATTTCAGTTTATTACAGCAAAACATTATGATTCTGATCTATATTTGTTTTCTGGGGAACCTTTGCACCCGATCCTAGCAATAAACATGAATATTGATGTCACCGTTTGCTTTGCGGGCTCATTTAGCAAAATGCAGCACACGTGTGACTCTCATTACTCTATTCCAGGACAGCCTTGGACTTTGCTAAACACTTCCAACAGACAGAAGCTATGGATTTTCTCCGATCTTCCATGTAAGTGTGGTGCTCAAGAATGTGATTTTATTTAATCAAGCAACTTCTGAATGATCTCTGTGTTGGGGTGTTGTTCTCTTGGTGATAGAAATACTTGTAGCTCCAAAGTTCCTCCTGCATCAGCGGTTGGGTTCTGACGCCTGGACTGTGATCAATTTTCGGGTCACACTGAGTCAGTATGCACGACAAACTAATGTTAAGTTTTCTTTTATCTGGTCTAGTCATGCAACTGTAAACACATTTCTGCAGTTTAGCAACATTTGAGCTGATTTTCTCATCACAATTAACTTACAGAGGATCTTATTTAGGCCTCTGCTTGTCTCATGTCTCTTGCTGTTTTGGAAGATATTTTGCGAATGATTCAAGGTTTTTGGGACGCGAGAATGTTTTCAGACATTTTTGAAACTCCATGAATGTTGACAGTCACAGCCCAGTGTCGGAGTGCCACAGACTGCATTTAAACAAGAAAATAAAATCCCAGTAAGAATTCAGAGTAGTTTGATTTTAGATTAGATTTCCTTGTCTTATGCGTTCCTAACCAGGTCGTTAGAGTGGTTGGGCTATGGGTGCTGATGACCTTTATCTTGTTCTTGTGCAGACCTTTAGTGGAGGGGAGTGAGCTGGAGGATGACGCTCTGATGCAGCATGGAGCCCCAGAGCTGAACGCTGAAGAGCAGGAGCTTCTCAGAGTGTACCACCACAGCTTTGATGATCAGCGGGTGGATCTGGATCTCATCATGACCCTGCTTCACAACATTTGCTCCACCACCAGTGATGGTGAGGCTCAGCACTGCAGGCACTATCCTGTCTAAATGCCTCTGAAGGAACTTAGGTGATGATTGACGCAGTCAGGAGGAAAATCTGAGCCCAGCCTATTCTTAAATAAAGTTTTCCTCCCCAAAAAAGCACAAATGGAACTGAAAGAAGGAAACATTTCAGCCTGTCATTTATGTGCAGATGTAAAAAAATACTTATCTGAGTAGGTCCTCCTCAGGGCCCTTAAGTAGACTTTCTCAGGAAAGATGGGGAATTCCCCAGAAAGATGAGCTGGCAGGTTGATTTCCCCCATCAGCTGTGTCATCCTGTCATCTGCAGGTGCTGTTCTGATTTTCCTCCCTGGATACGATGAAATAGTGTCCCTCAGGGACCGTATCATGTTTGCTGATAAAGGATTCTTCACAAACCCTGATAGGTAACTCCATCTGAGAACATTATTGTGTCTTTATATAAAGCTGAATGGTTTATTCAGAAAGAAGATAATTTGATAGAACAGTTTGTGTTTGTTTGAAGGAGTCTGTGTTTGCTGATTGTGATGATTCCTTATGCGGTTTCTAGAGCTCAGAGTTGTAGGAACTTGGTTTCTACGTGAATAATAAACTTTAACACATTTTAAGCAAAGACACTAGAGTGGTGATTTGGTCTGCTGGCAAGTTGGCAGATCAGAAATAACCACAACTTCATGAGTTGATATTCTATTTATTTAAAGGTCAGTGATGCTTAAACTGTTGTATAAATTAACTTCTTTAAAACAAGAGATCTTCTTTATGGTTGCTATGTTTGCACGTCTTTTATCTGAGTGAGCTTCTGAAGATGAAAACCTCACTACTGTCAAGCACTGCTGTTCATTTATTACTGTACAGAAAAGCTGTTTTTGTGTTATAAGTTAACCTGATTTTAGGGTTTGTAGTGAGTGCAAGGTTAACTTTGCAACATGTAGGACAACACTGGTTGATGTGAACCGGGGCTTTTCTTTCTCCCGGTTCCGGTTGAGTGAACGCTGGCGCGTCTCGCTGCCGCTGCTCGCTGGCAAACAAACTTTTTGTATTTTTTTTTCTTCTTTTTCACCCTAGTCACATCCCTGTGTCGGTGAAAACTCATTTTCACCTACCTGCTCAGCTTGCGTTCTGGTTGCACATCACCACCTCCCTGCTCCACTCCATAATGTGGTCCAGCAGGATTTCTGTGTGCCTCACACTGGCCTGGATCATCCTGTCGCTCATTCTTCTGTCCGTGGATGGCCTTCTCCAGTACTCGGCGGCAGAGCTCTTTAACCTCCGCTTCCACTACTCCGGATCTCCACCACCAGCTCTGTGCCTCTTCCCCGACATCACCTTCCAGCCTCGCCGTCGGTATATCCATCGGGGGTCCCGGCGGAACCTCCATCTCGACGGCTCCAAAGGAATACCCTCCTTCTGGTCCACGACTAGCCGGCGGCTACCCAGGAATACCTGCCGAGCTGCCGACTCCAGCGTGTTAGCCCGGCTGGCTAGTCGGGCTAATGCTCCTGTCGCCAGGGACTTCCGCACTGCTAATTTTGGTTTTCTCAACATTCGCCCCCTCTCTGGTAAAGGACATCTCCTCCAAGATACCATCAATGACCATAAGCTAGACTTTGTCTGAACGAAACATGGCAACAACCCGGCGATTTCTCACAACTCAATGACTGTACTCCTCCCGGATTTGTTTACCTCTCCAAACCCCGTGGGTCGGGCCGCGGCGGTGGTCTCGCGATACTCTATCGCGAGACTTGGAAGGTCCTTCCCGTAAGCCTTCCTCCTCTCACCACTCTGGAATGCCTCGCCTGTCAACTCTCCGGCCCGACCCCCACAATAATTGTCACTGTTTATCGTCCCCCCAAGTTCAGCCCTGAGTTTTTAAATGAACTCTCTGCTCTTTTATCCCATCTGTCCGCCCTTTCCCCAAATGTAATTTTACTTGGTGATTTTAATATTCATATGGACAATATGGCCCTCCCCCACAGCAAAGACTTCTCCTCATCTTTGGACAGCCTCAGTTTTCATCAATATGCCAATTTTCCCACTCACATTAAAGGTCACACCCTGGATTTAATCTGCTGCTCCGGCCTGACCCCCTCCAACTGTACAGCTGACCCGCTCCCTATCACGGACCACTTCCTCATCTCCTTTTCTGTTCCCCTCCGTCTCTCCATCATCAAGTCACCACGTATCATTTCTTTTCGTAATATTAAGGACATTGATCTAGCCTCCCTGTCCTCCAGTTTTGCCACCTTGACCCCTAATTTGTCCTCTACTCCCGATGATCTTGTCATTCAGTACAATAACGGTCTGGTTTCTATCCTTAATTCATTTGCTCCCATCAAATCCCGCTCTGTATATTTTACTCGGTCTGCTCCATGGTTCACCCCTGCCCTTCGCTCCTTGAAAGCTACCAACCGGAGGCTTGAAAGACTCTACAAGAAAACCGGTCTCACCATCCATAAAGACTTATATTCTGCTCAGATTTCTCTCTACAAGGACTCCATCTCCCATGCCAAATCTCAGTATTACTCCGGTCTCATCTCGTCCAACTCCAGCAACACTAAAACATTATTTTCCATCATGAACAGCATTTTTCAGCCTCCCGACTCCTTACCCATCCATCTTTACTCTTCAGAAACCTGTAACTCTCTCCTTCAGTTTTTTAATGATAAGGTCAATAGAATCCATCTCTCTTTACCTCATTCCTCCCCTCCCTCTCCTGATTTATTTGAACCCACCATTCCGTTCTCCTCCTTTGAACTTCCCCATCCCTCAGAAATATTAGATTACATCACCAAATCCAAACCTTCCACCTGTCAACTGGACCCTATTCCAACTGTTTTAGTTAAATCGTGCCTTTCTTCTCTGCTCCCTTTTATAACAGCCATTATTCATTCCTCACTATCCTCTGGTACGGTCCCATCCCTATTCAAATCCGCTTCAGTCAGCCCTATTCTAAAAAAACCTGGTTTAGATCCCAATGATTTCAATAACCTCCGTCCCATTTCCCATCTTCCCTTCATTTCCAAAGTCCTTGAGAAAACTGTTGCATCTCAGCTCCATTCACATCTCACCCGCAATAACCTTTATGAACAGTTTCAGTCTGGCTTCCGTCCCCACCACAGCACAGAAACAGCTCTCATCAAGATCACTAACGACCTACTCATTGCTGCTGATTCTGGTTTAATCTCTATTCTTATTCTCCTCGATCTGAGTGCGGCCTTTGACACCATTTCTCATCCCATCCTCCTCAATAGACTCTCTTCCTTAGGCATCACTCACACCCCCCCCCCCCCCCCCCCCCCCCCCCCCCAGCTGGTTTCAATCTTACCTTACTGGCCGCACTCAGTTCATCCAGTTAAAATCCTTTACCTCAGAACCCTCCCCAGTCAAGTCAGGTGTGCCCCAGGGCTCTGTCCGGGGGCCCCTCCTCTTCATAGTATATCTCCTCCCTATCGGCAAAATCTTCCGCAAATTCAATATCCAGTTTCACTGCTTTGCAGATGACACCCAGCTCTACATTTCCAGTAAGCCCAACTCAACTCTCCCACCATCCTCCCTTACACTCTGCCTCTCTGAAATCAAATCATGGTTCACCTCTAATTTCCTCAAACTCAACGGCAATAAAACTGAACTTCTTCTTGTTGGCACTAACTCCACCCTCTCAACATCTGACAGCTTTTCTTTAACTATTGACAGCGCCACAGTCTCCCCCTCACCTCATGTCAAGAGTCTGGGTGTCATTCTCGACAGCTCACTTTCTTTTCAGGCTCACATTAATAACTTAATTCGGTCAGCATACTTCCATCTACGTTCCATTAACCGTCTCCGTCCCTCACTGACCCCTCACACTGCCGCCATTCTCGTCCACAGCCTCGTCACCTCCCGTATCGACTATTGCAATTCACTTCTTTATGGTCTTCCCAACAAACTCCTTCATAAACTGCAACTGGTCCAGAATTCAGCAGCCCGTATTATCACCAGAACCCCTTCCTTTCACCACATCACCCCGGTTCTCCAGCAGCTTCACTGGCTCCCAGTTAAATTCAGGTCCATCTTCAAAATCCTCCTCCATACCTTCAAAGCAATCCACAACCTCTCTCCTCCATATATCTCAGACCTTATAAGTATTCACACCCCGTCCCGTTCACTCAGATCTTCTTCTTCCATCCATCTTGCGGTTCCTTCTGCCCGTCTCGCTACCATGGGGAGCAGAGCTTTCAGCCGCTCTGCTCCTCGACTCTGGAACTCACTTCCCCCAGACATCAGGAACGTCGACAGTTTTACCCTTTTCAAAACAAAACTCAAAACACACATGTTTAAATCTGCCTACAACCTCTGATTTTATTGAAATGTTTCTCTCTGTTTTTTCTTCTTTGGGTTTTATTATTGTTTTATTGTATTTTATCACGTGTTTTGTGTAAAGTGACCTTGGGTGTCCTGAAAGGCGCTTTTAAATAAAATGTATTATTATTATTATTATTATTATTATTATTATGGTGACGTTTACTGAGAAACAGTTTTTACTGGTTATCTTTAAAATATGATAGTTTCTCTGAGTTTCACAGTTAAGTTGAATGTGAAAATAGTCATCTACCCTAATTTCCTGCATTAGCCATAGATGGGGAAATGCTCAGATTAGAAAAGCCAATCAGATTTATGTAACACAGAAAATGAGAATTTATGGACTCGCCCATCTTGGTTCGAGACGAGGAAGGACGTTTTTTTGGTGTCCAGGGTACAGCAGAGAATGTCATGGCTAGTAGAAGCTAACCGTTAGCATTAGCAAGTCTATCACGTGGCAGAACGCCTGCTTCCTGTGTTATTGGTGGGATAAAACATTAAAGTTGCAAAGCAAACAGTCAGGGGGAGGGTTGCGTTGCTGTTAGCTAATCAGAGCTGAAATTGAGCCGTCCTCTGCTCTCCTCTCTTCTGGCTATCCTGAAACAGAAGCACCATAGTTTTTTTTCCACAGTAAATTATTCACAAGGCATTCATTCGTACAGGAGACCACAGTAGATTTATTCAAATAACGAGTGAATGAGGGCATAAAAAAAGAATACATTAAAAGGATGTTCCACCCAATGTAAATTTTTGTCTGTTGCCATGTTCACCATAGTTGAATAAGTAGGAAAAAACTATTTGTAACCAGCCCAGTGATTCCCCTTATCCGGCAGTACTCCTTTAACTTTAGCGTAGCATAAGCCAACGTAAGAGAATGGTACAAACTAGCCTTGTGTGTGAAAAAGTTATTGAAATTATTCGTGATTCTAATTCTGCTAGGTGACCTCAAAATTCATATTTACTACAAGTAAAAATACGTAAAACAAAGAAATCACAGGCACCACTTGGAACTAGTTTATGAAAAAGCACAGCTGTAAGCTTCCGCTGACACAGCAGCCTCAAAGCCACCTACTTTTTGATAAACACAAATGTTTACTTATTTTCACTTGTAGTCACTTGCAGTCTGTACAATTTATGAGGTCATCAAGCAGAATTAGGATCACTATTGAGTAATTTTTCACACTCCAGGCTATTCACTTACATTGTTTTATGCTAAGCTAAAGCTAAAGGAGTGTTGCCGAAACAGGAGAATGACTGGGCTGGTTGCAAAGTTTTTTTTTTTCTTCCCCCTACTTATCTAACAATGAGGAATATGGCGACAGACAAAATTTTACTTTGGGGTGGAGTATCCCTTTAAAGTATGTTAAAAGCACAGTTCCTCTAACCTGTAGCTTGTCTGTCTGATGTGTGCTATCTCTCAGCTACCAGGTGTTGACTTTACATTCAGACATGCAGACTCTGGATCAGAAAAAGGCAATGAAGCCTTCGCCACCTGGAATCAGGAAGATAGTAAGTAGCTCCTTCTTTAAGATGGCAAATCCGACTAAATTATACTGAAGGATGTCCACCCTGCACGCCAGAGTTGTTAAGAGTTGATAACGAATGAATTAATAAATGATTGGCTGAAAGAATTGGCTCATGAATGAATGGGGTTAGTTTTCCAACACCGATCAAACTTAAATCTGACTAAAGAAGTTCTAGATAACAATTGAAGCCTTGTGTTCTTATTTTTCAGATCCTCTCTACTAACATTGCTGAAACAAGCATCACCATCAATGATGTGGTCTTTGTCATTAACTCTGGAAAGGTCAAAGAGGTGCTGTTGCAGAAAAGACAGAAGTTGACTCTAATTGTTTGTACTTGACTCACCTTTTGTTGCCGTTTTTGCAGAAATCCTTTGACACACTCAGTCGTGTCTCCATGTTAAAGACAGTTTGGGTGTCCAAAGCTAGTGTTCTGCAAAGAAAAGGAAGGTAAGATTAGGACGTTACCGTCTGAGTTTCTTTATCAGAGCAGAAAGGGGCCTCTGCCTCCTATTCTGGGATGATTCCTAGTCAGAGTCGATGAATCAGAAAGAAAATAGAAATTATTCCCTTCTTATTATATTTATATATTAGTCATGGCTCAATCCATAATTTCTTTTACTGTTTCTTGTTGTACAAAGTCGTACTGGGGTGTGTTGTGTCCCTGCAGAGCTGGGCGATGTCAACCAGGAGTTTGCTTCCACCTCTTCAGTCGGCTCAGGTTCAACAACATGCAGGAGTTCCAGGTTCCTCAGCTGCTGCGGATGCCGCTGCAGGTAGATCCACAGACGGCACACTAACAGAAGTTATTATACTTAATAAAATTCAGATGTGCAGTGATACAAAATAACACTTAAAACACAGCATTGACAGTGTTAAAATGAACATTAGACATGGCTGGCAAATATTTTTCAGGATTATTAAACACGTTAGCTTTAGTTTAGATGACTTATGCTGAACACAAACCTTGTGGGCCAGATGTGGAACAATTTTATAATTTTTAATATTATGTAAAACACTTTCACATGCATACATGTTGCACTCACATTTTTATAGGGAGCCCAAGTCTCCCCTTCTGGTCGGCTCATGGGTCCCTGAAACAAGAGTAAATGATTGCAAGTCAATGGGGCAAAAAAAGTTACTTTCAAATCTGCTTTGCCTTACACCCTGAATCACACACACATGTTGCACTTCAATTTAATTGAAACGTAATGATGTGCGTTTTGACCATGTCTACTATGTACTTTAAGATTTGTTAGCATGTAAAAACAAATTAAAACACCTACAAATCAAACGTCACGTCACATAAATGACATTACTGCAGGATCTTCTCTCCCCAGCGTAGCTGCTACTTAACACATGACCAGATTTTTGGTGGTTTTCTCCACGTTTAATTCTCCTTTTGTCTTGGAAGGATTCGAAGCTCTCTAAACTTAACTTTTTCTCTTCTCCGTGTCTAGTTCGATGATGTCAGTTTGGTGACACGAGCATTTGTAGTCAGTTACGTCTTTTTGCACAAAACCTAAAATAACTTTTGCTGCCGTTAAAAATAACCGCTTTCTTGGCATCAAAATGTGTCTTTAATGTTCATGGACATCATATGTGAAATCCATGGCACAAATCAAACAGGATCAGAAAATAACTTTTGTCCTCTCTCAGACTCCCATTCAGTTTTTTGGGGGGGCAGTTGGGGACCCATGATCCGGAGGTAGATGGGTGGGATTTAGGCTCCCTGTAATATCCTCACTGATTGTTTTGGCACCAAACATAAGCGTTTGCTTAAGCCTGAGTCCTCATCTGGTTGAGTGTAAACTAGGGATGCACCGATCAGGTTTTTTGCTGCCGATCACCGATACCGATATCAAAGAATGCTGATCACCGATACCGATCACGTGGATTGGCCAGAAAATTTCTACAACATTATAATGAGTGCTACAAACTACATAATCTGGGAATAAAGGAAATGTAACCTAATCTAAAATGGTCTGATCGGTCTGCTTTGATCTATTTTGAAAACTCCGATCAAAACCGATAGGGGCGCTATCGGCCGATTGGGATCAAATGCCGATCCATCGGTGCATCCCTAGTGTAAACGTGGAAATAAAGGCTCCGCAGTAGTGCCAACTACTGTGTTCTGCTTGGGTATGAAAGTGTGAAAAGACAGTTTACTGGTACTACTAGTGTTTCTTCCCCGACAGGAGGTGTTAAAATGTGAAGGAGGGGGTAACATAAGAAACATGATAGTGGGTTAAAAATGGGTTTAATTGTTATAAAAGGTTCTAAAAACAAATGCAAACAGATGGTAAGCATTATTAAAATAATGCCTAACAAATACCAAGACTAAAAGGATAACATTTAAAGGATGACTTAACATTAAAACACCTGGTTAAAACTTACCGAAACAGAAGGTGTTTTAAAAAACACAAGTTGATTATAAAAACCGACGCACTACGAAAACACCCAGTGTTTTAAAATCCCAAAGTCGGTAAAGTACGATGTTACCCTTAAAAACAATACATAAACCAAAACGATCACAGATCTTCTGAAACACACAAAAGGGGTTTAAAACAAAGCGTAAGGCCTGGAGGACAGCAGAACCCCTAGACTGCTGCCTCCCAGACTGCTGAGGGCACAGCCTTTTTATTCCAGGTGTGGGTTGTCAGAGCGATTCAGCTCAGCTGTGCTCCTCAGCAGCCTGGGGGAGAGGAGGAGGAGGGGCGGTGTCTGGCTGATCACCGGGGCTGGGTGATCCTGGCTCCTGCACCTGAAGAGGCCAGACTGGTGGCCATAACATTTAGGAATAATAATAAAACAATGATATTTGAATTTGATTATAATGTTATCATATTATGTGCTTGTCAGGAGCTTTGTCTGCAGACCAAGCTGCTGGCTCCTTCCTGTCCAGTACATGAATTCTTGTCCAGAGCTCCTCAGCCACCTCCTTCACATGCAATCAAGAGTGCTGTGCAAATGCTAAAGGTAACTTCCTCTTTTTTTATGCCAGAGAAGCTGCACACACACAGCTCCATGCTTGCATACTGTAGCTGTGTCCACGATCCCAGCAGCGCCCGCTCACAGCTGTTCTGTTCAGACCATAGATGCTCTGGACCAGAACGAAGACCTGACTGATCTGGGCTACCACCTGGCTGATCTGCCTGTCGAGCCTCATCTGGGCAAGATGGTGCTTTGTGCTGTTATGCTCAAGTGCCTTGACCCCATCCTCACCATTGCTTGTACGCTGGCCTATCGGGACCCTTTTGTCCTCCCCACTGACGGCTCTCAGAAAAGAGCTGCTTTGGAGTCCCGCAGACGATTCACCTCCAACAGCTTTAGTGACCACATGGCCCTGCTTAGAGTGTTCCAGGTACTTGTGTGTGTGTATGTGTGTGTGCGTGCGTGTGTGTGTTGAGTAAGAATATCTAATCTTATCTGCTGCATTGAAACTCCAAAGGTATTTATTTTTTTATGTTTCCCTTATTTAACCAACAAGTCCCTTGAGCTCATCGGTTCTTTTTCAGGGAAGATCCGGTCAAGATTTATAAGCTAAAATGTCAAACGTCAGTACGTTTTAAGTGATTTTACAAACAAGTTGAATCAGACACAAGTACATCATTCAGCCTGGGTTATTGATACCCAAAAGATGCTAGGTTACCACAGCTGTAGAGTTTGGACTACCTGAAGGTAACATACCTTCTGATGCGATAAAAGTCTGCTACTGGAGGAGAAAGAAGCCACTTACATTCAGACAGGAAAACTCTGGATGCGTCTTGGGTGACCAGATCCCAGCTTGCCAAATGTGAGACAGAGACTACTCGGTGTGGGACAAAGTGAAGTTCCAATGTAATGAAAACAACAAACAAAACTTATATTCTGCCTTTTAGCCCTAACATCACTGTTACATATACATAAAATTATTATTCGTATTATCATCATATATTTCTTGTATATATTTTATTTGAATTCAACATGAACAAGCATACAGCAAAAGCTTTACTGTTTCACAGTTCCTCGCACGTTACCACAACATAACTCTTTGGGCCTTCTGTAGTGGCTCTGATCATATTAATAATATAGATAGGCCCACAATAATTAAAAAACAAATGCAGGTTTAAGCAGGACCCTCTCCCCCGAGGATGGTGGATGATATCATCCCTATTTTGGGTCCCACCATCTTAGACATTTTTAACTCTAGCTTGGCCACTGGTGTATTTCCTACTTCTTTTAAAAAGGCGGTTGTGCAACCAATTTAAAAAAAAACCTGGTTTAGACCTCTCAAACCTTGCAAACTTCCGACCAATCTCCAAATTACCATTTTTGTCTAAGGTCCTTGAAAAGATTGTCTATTCACAGATTACAGCACACATGAATAGCTTTTCTCTGGTTGATGTGTTCCAGTCTGGGTTTAGGCCACTTCACAGTACTGAATCAGCCCTTCTTCGCGTGACCAATGACATCCTGGTGGCCTCTGACTCTAGGTCTCCTGTTTTGCTCCTTCTATTAGATCTTTCTGCAGCATTTGATACCATTGGCCATGATATTTTGCTGGATAGACTTGAGTCATGGGTGGGCTTAGGGGTACCTCACTTCAGTGGTTCTGCTCATACCTGTCAAACAGAGTTTTCAAGGTTCAGTTGGGTAATTGTTCCTCTACATGCCTTCCACTTCCATGGGGAGTTCTGCAGGGGTCTGTGCTTGGGCCTCTCCTGTTTTCAATTTACATCCTCCTCCTGGGTTCCATCCTGAGGAAATATGGCCTGAGCTATCATATCTATGCAGATGATTGCCAAATGAACCTGGCTTTGAACAAACCAGGCTCCCCCTCTCTTCTGGACCAATGTTTGGCGGAAGTGAGGGTTTGGCTTGCCAACAATTTCCTGAAGCTGAATGATTCTAAGTCTGAGGCACTCCTCATGACCCCTAACTAAACCATACACTTATCTTCTGATTTGGACACTCTCCCATATGACCTCAAGCAGTGTGTTACCAACCTGGGGGTGAAACTGGATACTCACTTTTCCATAGGCCCCCTCAGATTAACGCAGTGGTCAGATCGTGTTTTTATCAGCTGCGCAGACTAGTTTGCTTAAAACCGATCCTGAAACGAGCACACCTGGAATCCGTAATTCATGCTTTTATCATCTCCCGACTAGATTACACAAATTCCATTTTCAGTGGTTGACCTGCCTCCGCTCTTAACAGGCTTCAGGTCATACAGAACGCGGCAGCCAGGTTTTTAACAAACACCCCTAGAAGAGACCATATCACACCTGTACTGGCGCAGCTCCACTGGCTACCCGTAAACTTCAGAGTCAAAGTTTAAAATCCTGATTTTTGTCTTTACGGCCCTGAATGGTCTGGCTCCGGATTACCTGTCTGATCTTGTGACTCTTTATGTGCCAAACCGGGCGTTGAGATCTACTGATTGCCTGCTGCTTCACGTTCCAACAATGAAATACAAAACGCGGGGGCAGTGTGCTTTTGTCTATGCTGCTCCGACACTTTGGAATGCTCTTCCTCTTTCAGTGAGGCCATCCCTCCTCCGTTTCAAGTCACTACTTAAGGCTCACTTTTACGACCAGGCATTTTAAAATCCCTGACTTTTATTATTTTACTATGTGTCTTTTTATTGACCGTGATTATCTGCTTTGTTGTGTATTTTATTGTTGACCGTGTTTTGTTTTTATGTTGTGTTTTTACTTTTTATTCTGTACAGCACTTTGGCCGGCTGCCATGCCGTTTTTAAATGTGCTTTATAATAGGGATGCACCGATACCGATTCCAGTATCGGTAAAAGTTAACCGATACCAGGAACCGATACCAATGCAGTTGCTTGAAAATGGCTTCGCTGTAACTTGTCATTTCTGTTCACCTAATTTTATTTTTCTTCATATATTTCACTTTTTATCTACCTCACAGTCATTTTCTGTTGAAAGCAGAGAAGAAAATAAAATCTGTATTCCAAATCATTGCATTTTTTCGTGTGGTAGAAGTATCGGTATCAGTAATCGGTATCGGCGAATACTAAGATCCATGCATCGGTATCGTATCGGTTTGGAAAAAAGGGGTATCGTTGCATCCCTACTTTATAAATAATGTTGGTATGGTATGGTATGGTATGTTTTCAGAGTTTTCATTGAATGTTTTCCACAACAGAATGACAGTAAAAGTACCAATAATAGTTTTTAGATCTATTTATGTTTGTTTTAAATTTATTTTCCACTAAAATCAGCATCTCATTGCTATTTTTTTCATAATACAGAAACAAAATGTTTGTTTAAACGTGACAACACATCTCTTCTAGATTTTAGGTGAGAGAAATAAACATCAAATTCTAATCTCTAAAACATTCAGATCTAATGTAATAATAGTTTCTTAGAGTTACTTTTTGCCTCAAATGAGAATAAGTGATCCAAGCTTATTTCTTCACTATGCTTAAAGGGGCTCAGCATGTACGCAGGTATCTGAAACCGCAGCACCTTGTCTGTGTTAGAACCTCCATTGTGTTTATCATGGACCTGTCTAATTACTGGAAAACCTGCTTTTGACGTCTTCCAATCAGAATCTGCTCAGAGACATGAAAAAATGACTCAGAAACAACAAAGACTCTGTCGAGTATCTCTGAACACGTTTAATTCACGAGTTTACAGAATTTTCTCCTCCGTGCTCACTCACGCGTGTTTTGGTGATTCGGGTGCGCTCCACACACGCTCCGGATCTGTGTTAAAGTCCCGCCTCAGTTTGATTGACAGCAATAGGCAGATTTCTCCACACTTTCTTTTATAAGATTGAAACTTGAAACGGGAAACTGTCAATAATGCGGGACATGAGTCTCAATTTGCGGGACACGTGAAAAGTAATGAAAATGCGGGACTGTCCCGCACAAAGCCGGGCATCTGGTCACCCTAGATGCGTCACGGTGGTGGACAGCAAACCACAGAGCCAGACATTGGTGGATGTAGTGATCAGCAGGTGCAGAAAGACGGTCAGAAGTAAAGGACATGGGATTTAGAAAAGCTTTAGCATAAATGCATGTAACGAGCTGTAAAACAGCCAAAACAGATACAGATTAGAACTAATGTACAAACATGTCTGAGGCAGGTTAGAGAGTTCAAATGAATATTATTCACTGTAAAGTGTCTTCTTCCACCACACCTTCTGTTACCACAGCACCCTGGTCCTCTAGGGCGGTTATCCAGCATGTTTTAGTTGTTTCTCTGCTCCAACACACCTGATCTTAATGTGCGGGGGATTAACAGGCTTCAACCACTGGAGCATGAAAACCACTCAAACGTGCTGGTTCTTGTTGGTGTCTGGGATTGGACACTACTGAGTTACCATGTCCTGGATGAATGAGGATCTTCACATTAGTGTTAATTGTTCCATCTGCAAGGTCAAATGAATTATGGAAGAAAAAGAGCATGTTTAATTGAACATACATGATCTCAGATCCTTGCTTTAGGTCTTATTCATTTGAAGTAAATGTCTTCTTCAGTATGGTCTGCAGACGGGACATTTTTACATCAGTATGGACTTTAAATGACTCACAGGGCCTAGTTTTAGTGGTGTGGCGAATGAGAGGACAGCTTCATCTCTGTTTCAGGCATGGCAGAAGGCTCGCAGTGATGGATGGGAGAGATCCTTCTGTCAGAAGAACTTTCTGTCTCAAGCTACAATGGACATGATCCTTGGCATGAGGACGCAGCTCTTAGGACAGCTTCGTGCTATTGGTCAGTCCCACCAAGTGTGTGTTTTCGTTCTAGAAATGATTTCCTGTTTCCCTACATATTGTTCTGTCCCGTTCAGACTGGCTCATCGTGAATCCTGAGTAGTAATGCACCAATATGAAATTTTTGGGCTGATACGATATCCAATATTGAGATCACTGTCATGGCCGATAACCGATATACTGACATTGCTTCTAAAATCAGCAGATTTTGTATAGAATGAAAATTATTAAAGCTGAATTTACATTATTATGTACACACAACACACACATTTACAGTTCTGAGATGATTACATTCACTGTTCACATGACTAAACAATTACACATCACCCCCCTCACCCTCTGAAACAGGCAAACAAATGGAGACAAGATGAAAAAAAATATTGATTGTTAATATCAGTCCAGTTTTACTCATCGAACCGATGCCGATATGTTAAAAATGACTAACATCGGCCAGTACCAATGTTGATGCCGATATATTGTCCATCCCTAATCCTGAGTGATCAGATTACAAGACGACGCTCTAAACTCAGGTGTAAAGGCTGTGAGGACAGAGAGACACGTTCAGATTGAGTCTCTAGCTGAGTCCATCCTGGATAACACAGAAGGAGCAGCTTCTGGTCTGATGGGATTCGGCACAAACGGTGGCATTAGCATCTGAAAAATCATCAGAGCACTAAAACCCAGGGAATGCTGAAGGTGTCAATAAACTAGATGTCAGAATTCCTGTCAAGGATTGGATTTAACATTGAGCAGACCACCAGGTTGTTTTTTAGGTGTGTTTTTCCACGTGTGCAGCGAAGCAGAAAGTTCTGCTCAAATATGTGCTTTTTTTTAATTAGTATTGTGTTTTGTATGACCACCATAGAGCAATAACTTTAGAGATTTACTGTTTTTATATTTTTGAAGGACTAAATGCATTTAAAACCATATTTTGCCCCTCAGGTTTTGTGCGGGCGCGTGGGGGCAGCGACATCCGTGACGTGAATCTTAACTCTGAAAACTGGGCCATGGTGAAGGCAGCCCTGGTGGCTGGCATGTATCCAAACCTGGTCCACATCAACAAGGAGACGTCTGTCTTCTCCAGTAACAGAGAGAAGAAGGTCCACTTCCATCCTACATCTATTCTGAGCCAGCTTCAGGTGAAAGAAATCTATCCAATGACATTCCTTGATGAGAAAAGAGGGTTTTTGCTGTGATGCTGAACTAGTGAATAGGTCTGATGTTATACTGTTAGATGGATCCAAGAAGCCGGCTGAGTTTAGGAGCCTTTTACTCATGCCTGATTCACAGGTTAGAGTTTAGCGGCTTCACGATTAATAAACATTCATCTGGGGTCAACACACTCGTAATGCCTTTCACGATGCCAGGAGACCTGCAGGTTACTAGAGGTTAATAAAGACGTCTGGCTGCTTTAAAGGAAAATACACAAAAGACCCTCACTTGTGATTTTTCACCGCCTTAATGGTTTTAACTGAACAACCATCCTGTCTTTCATGTTTTTGATATGTAGAAGATTATAACAGTGTGAAGAAATCCAGTTAGATGTGTGTGTGTGTTTGTGGTGTTTAGAGCAGCACCTCCAAGTCAGCCAAGACTCTTCCCACAGACTGGCTGATCTACGATGAGATGAGCCGGGGTCACAGGATGGCGAGCGTCCGCTGTTGCACCCTGGTGACATCCATCACAATCGCCATTTTTGCAGGATCTACCCAACCTTCATGTTCTGGCCTCCAAGAACCAACTGTACACAAAACCAACGGTGAGAAGGATTTTATATCGGACAGTCGTGTTTGTAAAGCTTGTTCCCCAGAGATGCCTGAGGTTTTATATTCTTGTTTTAAAGCAGCGTTTTTGTAAATGTGTTCCACGTCTCTGAGGGTCATTTAGAGAAGAGCACGTTTTTACAGATCTGATAAAGGAATTCCATGTTTCTATGTTTACACTTCTCCTTCCAGAGTATCGTAGGATATTTCTGCTTGTGTGCATTTTATACATTTCTATTATGAGCTGCGTTTTGACTCTCAGGTTTAGGCACTCATTATTTTTCTTTCACATTTTTAAAACGTGAAACCTGATAGTAGGGATGTCCCGATACAACTTTTTTCACTTCAGATGCTATACCGATATTGCAGCCTTCAGTATTGACCGATACCGATATCGGCACAAATCGCACATACTTTGACCTATTTCATAGTGTGGAATGTATATAAGGGTTGATCAAGTGATATTGTATTACTCAAACAGAAAACAAAAGCCAGCAACAGTAAATATAAAAAACTGACCAATTTTTTATTAACCTTTGGTTGCATGTAGGGTTGGGCATCGAGCGTAGTTTGGAACCAGTTCCAATTGTTCATTTTTCCCAGAATTGTTCAAAGTTTTTTATTTCGATTCCTAGAATGCCGATGGAAGAGGAATCCGCGGCCGATTTCAGTGAAAAATAAATGTGATCTGTAAATTCTGATCAACACTTTTCAGAGCTGATCACACCAGCTGTCTGTGTGCAGCACCGAGTCCCCCCTCCCCCCACTCAGATATAAACAAACGCGTCTGCCGAACTTTTACTCCGTGATGTAAACTTTAGCTCCTGCAGCGTAGAGGAAACTTGTTAAAATACGTCAACACGGTGGATTTAATAGAAGCTTTAAAGAACAAACTCTGGACGGTGTGAGGTGAATTTGTCTCACTGCAGAAATAAAAACACACACAGAGCATGAGCAGTCAGACGCAGCCAGCTACATTTAAGTTTCACTTTCTGTTCTGACTGAATGCTGCTGCAGCATGGAGGTGTAGTTCTCAGTCATCCTGGACATGATCATCCTGAGAGGTTTAGCTGAAAACAGCTGGACGTTTCTGGATATGTTGGAGACATTTAGCCTCTCATCCCAGAGGCTTCGTCCAGACTTTGGTTGTGGTCAGAAACAAACACACTGGTTGTGCTGCAAGTCTTTATCTTTTTTTCTCCAAAACAAGTTTTTGTCTAAATGAAGGTGATGTTATCGTTCATAGAATTAAAGTTCATGTTGAAGTTAAAATTATTTCATCAAGTAGGACCTGTGGTTAGCTAGCTCATGTAAAACATGTCTTGTCTTGAAAGAATCGGAATCGGGAATCGATAGGAACCGGAATCGAAACAAGGAATTGGAATCAGAATCGTTCAAAATCAAACAATGCCAACCCTAGTTGTATGAAAGTGAACAGCTACGATTAGGGACATAAGGGAAAAAAAAACAAAATTGTTCACTGACCAACTGCTACAAGTTGAGTGTCTAAAGTTTTGATTTCACATACAGAAAATCCTCATGCAATGTTTTGTGATCCTGCTTCAAATGCACGATGAGGTTGGACGCATCAATCTTCCCCGGTTCTGTTCCACCACGGGACACTTGTGCATGACAAGTGCTGCACTGAGCCAAACTGTCTTTTCGGACTCTAACGAAAAATAGAGCCACATGGCTGACATTGTTCCTTGCTACTGTGCTAGCACACACTGTTCTGATCACGTGGACTTTCATGCTGGATCTGGGCGCTGAAGGATATAATTACTGGAATGGAATTTAAAACGGAACGTAATGCTAATGTCGGAGATTTTTGATGTAGTCCGATAAAATCCGATAGTGTTTTTGGGCCGATATCAGTATCTGAACGGGACATCCCTAGCTGATTGTATCTCTGACTTGCAGACGGTCCTCTGGATGACCTGAGTGACAGCGACTCGGAAGAGCTGACAGAAATGAAGATAGATGACTGGCTCGTCTTCCAGCTGGAGCAAGAGGTGAGTAAACTCTCCTTCTGAGACTTTTAACCGTTACATTTTGTCTTCTTTGTGTTTTCTAACTAGCCTGGCCTGCCAGACTCGCCCTCTGTTTAATTCTGCACAGAGAAAGAGTCTGGTAACGCTCCCATGCAAATAACCCCACCCCCTTAGAATTCTAACGGAGCCAATCAGCACTGAGCAGCGTATGTCACACACTGCAACGCTCAATTTCTCATAAACAACGAAGATGGCATTTGAAGTGTTTGGCGCGGCTCTTTCTTCTTGGACTTGTCTTTAAAACCACAACAAAAAGAACTGCTAAAAGCCTTTCTTCTTATGAAAGATGCTTGCGCCATCGCCAGGCGCCATTTTTGACTACATCTAAAAAACTACAGCGTCGCGCGGTACAGTCGGTATTTCCGCATTTTTGTCTGATTGGTTATTTTTGAGCTGGCTAGTCCCGCCTCTCAGCCTTTGAGTAACCAGACATACGCTGCTCAGTGCTGATTAGCTTGGTTAGCCAGGGGTTCTCAGGAGGTGGGGTTATTTGCATGGGAGCGTTGCCGGACTCTTTCTCTGCAGAAGCAAACAGAGGAAGAGTCGGGCAGGCCAGGCTAGTTTCTAACACTTCTGGTATGATTACCACCACAAATAGTTCTACTGTGGAGGACATACCCATGTAGGATACCTGTCGAAGGTTTTTACCAAATAACTTGAGTGAATTTAAAAAGATGATAATATTGTGATCAAATCAGAAGTGTTTTTAAAAAATAGTTTTAAATATTCTATATGTGCCTTTAGATCCATTAAATTCAATTCAAAAATACTTTATTAATCCCAGAGGGAAATTGATTTAGTAATTACTCGGGATCTCACCAGTAATTAATTAGGTATTTTTGTGGTTTTATCTACTGTTTGACAGAATGCAGGACTGGTGTCTGAACTGAGACATAAGTGGCAGAGTTTGTTCTTAAAGAGGATCCGCAGTCCCTCAAAACCCTGGTCTCAGCAGGATGAGGCCATCATCCAGACCCTGGTGTCTGTATGTGATTAAATTCATCTTTTTTGGTTTTAGCTTGGTTGTGTTATGTTTTTTTTAATTGAACTGTTTTTGTCCAGGTGCTGGGGGCACAGGAGCAGGAAGCTGGCTTGCAGCAGCCTGCTGGGATCGGTCAGCGGCCCAGACCCATGTCCTCAGAGGATGGACCGCAGACCTCTGTGGGGACGTCCAAGAGCAGGCTTCAGCCTGCCACAAGCACCACAAACGAAAGGTTTGTTACTTTTCATTTCATCACATTGAATTGAATGTCTTCTTTTGTTTATATCATTTTCCCTTTAAAGGATCCCTGAGTATCTGACTTGTCTGTTACTTGCCACTAGAGACCTGGAACAGTCAGCCACAACACAAGAGTTGAGGATGAAAGGGAATAAAGTTACTGAACAGATCTTTAATTTAATATATCAGGAACCAGGGGCGTCACTCATATATCTGTGCAGAGAGAAGACGGATCAGTTGCTGGTTCTCCTGTGATATGGGGGATAAATAATATCACCAACCAGCAGATGGGGGTTCTGCAGGGTTGGTGGTGTCTGTGGAGGCAGCAGCTGAGCTCTGTGTAGGTCTGCTGCTGCTGTGATCAGAGGGTGGCTCCTCTCCTAGCTCATCTTTAAGTTGTGAAGCTGTGTGGGTCACAGCACATGAAAAACCTGATGGTTCTGATCACAACCCAAAACCCAATAACAGGAAACTGGCAAGTTCGTACATGAATGCAGAGAGCAGCATACGTTAGAGTAGGGCAAGGAAGGAATCATATTCAGGGTATGAGGTGAGTCAATGTTGGATTGGCAGAAATGTCTATAAAGTGGTCAGGGCAAGTGGTTAAACCAGCTCAATGGCCTAGTGGTGTCCGCTCCGAGGGGTTGGATCGGGGGGGTTAAACCACCAAATGGTTCTCGAGCGCAGCTGCAGCTCACCGCTCCTCCAAGGATGGGTCAAATGCAGAGAACACATTTCACCAGACACCAGTGTGTGACAGCTAATGGGACTTTAATCTTTAAAGACCAAAGATCATTGAGCCCAATCAAAGAGTTTACACCTGCTGCGGAGCAGATCTGCGTATGGAAATGCAGAATCTTTCCATGTGGTTTCTATTTTTCACAGACGCCACATGCAGACCAGCATGAATTTGAAAAATTGACCTGAGACAGACAGGAAATGAGACGTGTACCAGGGAGGTGCGTCCGGTTTATTTCAAAATAAAACTTGTCTTTTACTGTATGTCTTGAATGATGCACTGTAGTGTAAAGCGCTTTGGGGTCCTTACTCTGAGAGGTGCTATACAAGTGCGGGTCATTTATCATTTATAATTTTATCACTCTCTGCTGGCGGTTCATTACACTAGCATGCAATATTACAGCCCAGTGCATGCACACAGCTGCTGTTCCTACACTAGAGGTGTGACTCTTCACTTGTCTCCCGATTCGATTACTATTACTGGGTCGACGATTTAATTTGATTCAAAATCACGATGCTTCACGATTATTTCATATGGGTTTGTTTTCATCGATAAATAGAAGATGTCAGATAATTGCTTTTTTAAAATCAAAAACACACACAACCTGCCGTCCCCCAAAAGCTCTCCATTCACAACAGTCCTTAGGACAAAACATTGTAAACATTTAAGAAGATTTAACAAAGTAAAAACATCTGTTTCCTCATTCAACAGTCACACCTCAAGCTGAGAAAAACATGCTTTGCAAATACTCACAAAAGACAGTAACTTGACTTTTAAACAACATGTTAAAAAAGTAACCAAATGTATAAATTCCAAACTTGTAAATTTTAAGCACCTCAGAAATCAAATGTCAACAGAAGCTGCAAAAATGTACATGTTTGCTCTCGTAATATCTCACATGAATTATTATTTACCTGCTTGGGCCTCTGCAAACTCCACCACTTTAAGTAGGTTAAAATCTTTATATAAACAGGCTATCAAAATTCTCAAATTTACTCAATGTAATGTTGTTTTACTTGTATTGTTTTTAAAATGTTTATAACTTTAAATGTTGTTTTATACTATGTGCCAATCGGCAGGGGGACTGCCAATGGAAATTAGCCTTTTGGCTATAATTGGGTACATTTACATTGTAAAATGTTTATTAATGCACACTGTCCCTCTACATCAAATAAAAGTTATTCATTCATTCATCTGAAAAAATACTGAAAATCTATAGGACATGTCCAATTCTTGCCTTTAATTTAAGGTATAAAATCCATAATGGGTTCATATATGAGTGTTTAATGTTTTTGAGCAGCTTTTTAGAGTCAAATATTTATGCCACAGTTCAACGGTGTCAGAAATAACACCAAATGAAATGTTTGACTTAGTTTTTTATTTTATTTGAACCCAGTGGTTCATTTCTGAAATGTTGGAGAATGAATCAAGTTCTGTTTAATGCAGAAAATAATAAAACATTTAAAAAATCCTAAAGTTCCACTAATATTAAGATGTTTAATGTGGAGGCTGTGGGCTGGATTAGGATTAAATGACCTATCTGATGGATCTCCTTCACTAACCGGCTACAAACCTTCGGGGGGGGGGGGGGGGCTGGTGCCTATCTCCAGCGGTCAATGGGCAGTTAGACGGGGTACACCCTGGACAGAGAGCCAGTCCATCGCAGGGCAACTCAGAGACACACAGGACAAACAATCATGCACACACACACTCACACCTAAGGACAATTTAGACAGACCAATTAACCTAACAGTCATGTTATTTGACTGTGGGAGGAAGCCGGAGCACCCGGAGAGAACCCACACATGCACAGGGAGAACATGCAAATGCCGGGAAGTGAACCCTGGACCTTCTTGCTGCAAGGCAACAGCTCTAACCACTGCACCACTGTGCAGCGTCCTGTGTGACCCTCACCATATAACCCTCATGTCCATGCTGTCTCTGGAGGAGCAGATAGGAAACAAGATCTCCTGTAACTTAAAATGAACCAAAGCTTCTTCCTAGTTCTTCTTTAAAGAGCAAGTCACCCCCTACCAGATTCTTACTCAACTCCCACTTCCTGTTTGAAAAATGCAACAAATGCTGTTGCCTAGCAGACCGAGAGGGTGGAGCCACTAACAAATACACACACACGACATTGTGACATCATAATGTACCATCTAGCATCATAGTGTACCTCTTAGCCAATAGCGACGGCAGATTTAAATTCTAATGCAGTGCTGAGTTTTTACCTGACGACAGTGCAACACTGACAGTTTTAGGCAGAATATTTAAATTTTAGCTAAGATGCACTAAAGTGCCGAATTATTGACGACACGTGTCTGCAGCACGATCAGACGCTCATTTATACAGTTTATCAGCAAAAAAAATGTTGATTTGGAGTGACTTGCTCTTTAAACTGAATTTAACATCAGTTCATCATCATTAAATAAAAGAATAAAGTGGAACAAAAACTTCTATCTTCTATTTCTCTCTCCTTTTAACTTCTCCGTGTCCCTAAATAAAAGACAGATGATTAACGCGTGTTTGGAGGTGCGTCCTCCGATCCCCTCTCTTGTGTGAGCAGACAATGCGCCCTCTCTCTCTCCCTCTCTCTCTCTCTCTGTCGCTGTTCGAGCAAGTGGAGTGCGCCGCATAACAACCCGCTCAATTAACATAATTCACCAGCCCAAATCCAACAGAACCGGTCGGGCTGATTCGGTTCGGTCTTAGGTTACAACTGAAGCTCTCAGCTCTGCAGTACCACATAAAGGCAGACCAAAGAACACCCAGTCTGACAGATTTGGATGCTACGTTGGTGCCGCCGTTAAAAAAACAAAACTACATTCCACTATAATGATTATGGTGTACTTCTCTACGATGCAGAATTGTTTATGCCCGCATCTCATGCGTTGATTATTTGCCTCCCGGTCGGCCGCCTGGGTTCCGGGGCCACAAAGAGGGGGCCCGCGGGCCGCCTCTTGAGTCCCGCTGCTCTATGCCTTAACAACTATACAACCAGAAGCCCATAACAAGCTGTTCTGTATGAAACTTCACCCAAAACAATTTCTACAAACGTTTCACTGTTTGCATAATTTTTTTGAGAATTTAGGGGGAAAGGGCAAATGTGAATGTCTGCCTACATTTTAGTAACAATTCTCTATTGATCTGAGTTACAGGCTTCACCAAATGGCCTTCTCAGACCTGTTGAAAAAAAACACCCAGAGCAAAGATGGTGCCTCTGTGGCTTTGAATCAGCTCTCTGATGGTCCTCTTTGTCCCAGTCCATCCTGCTCTGGAACTCCAGGGAGCCCCCTCGACTCGCTCTGGTCTTCTTCATTAAGAAAGGTATGCACTGTTTGCCAAGTGTCATAATTCTGCCTCTGAACAGTAGAACTGAGAGGAGGAAGTCTGGATGTGATGGAAGGTTTCATCCGTTATTCTGCACCTTAGTATAGGTATTATCATCTGTTTGAATGTATTTTAATGTACTGTACATCCTGTATAAGGTCTGTTTAAAATATGGGTTTTCACACACACACACACACACATTCTGCTTTATCCTGTTATTTATTAGTTAACCTGATACTCAACCAGAACCAGATCATTTTCATTGCTGACAGTTGCTTAGCGCCCCTGCCCCATCATGAAATTATAGATGCAGGTTTGGTGAGTGGTGGAGTTCTAACAATGCTTTCTATCTCATTCTCTTCAGACTTTACCGCAGACCGTCCTTCCGTCGGTTCGATATTTTGTGATGAAGAGCAGCAACGCCAGAAACATAGACATCTCTCAGGAGAAGGGCATCTGGTCTACGACTCCCAGCAATGAGACCAAACTCACTAAGGCCTTCATGGGGCATAACCTCATCATCCTCATTTTCTCTGTTCAAGGCTCCGGACATTTCCAGGTAACACAGACTGGCCGCATTAAGGTTTTCTCAGTTAGTCTGATGGGAATCATGTCTGATTAAGCATCTCTTTGGTTGTTTTTATGTGATGAAATGATACCGATCCTACAGTCAGGCATCGTTACATCAGTCTAAACAAGACAGAGACGTGTTTTCCCAAGCGTGTCCTTACACTGTCCTGGTTAAATATGAGGGGAAAAAGCTTCCGATTGTTTCTTTCAAATCATTAACAGAAACTGTAAAGCAGATACCTAAAATGGATTATTCCAGTAAATTACAAAGCACCATGAATTTGTTTGCTGCTCCCAGGGCTACGCTCATATGACATCAGCCGCCAGCCAGGAGAGCTGCCAGGACTGGGGCTTTGTGGGACTAGGAGGGGGTTTCAGTGTGGAGTGGGTCCATAAGGAGAGCCTTCCTTTTCACCTCACCCAGCACATCCTCAACCCCTGGAACGACAACAAGAAAGTCCAGATCAGCAGGGATGGACAGGTGACTTCACACTTTGCTCATTCATCCCTGGAACACACAGGCAGTTCAGGTGGTAGGAATCCACCGGAGGAGTCTGATCTTACTGAGACCAGCGTCAGCAGCTGCTGACTGAAAAAACTACAGTTCCTCCGTTTTAGCTGATGATTACTATAAGGAACCGTACTGTCTTCCACTTTTGGTGTCACATTATTTTTTGTATAGATCCTAACTGCATGGAATACAGATGCTATGAAAATGTCTGTGTGATCTAGGAGCTGGAGCCCCAGACTGGCAGCCAGCTGGTCTTACTGTGGGATCAAAACTTCAGGAAGCAGCTTCATTGACATCTGAGTCCTCATCCGGCTACTGCTCTACTGACCACATGGAGCCATGACGGAAGAATGTTTTACCTGTTCAGGTTCGGTTTGACATGTTTTATGTCTCTTGTTCAGCAGTGCTTGTTGTAAACGAAGAGGAGCAGCTCAGTTTGGATTGTTTGTTCAGTTACTGCACATGTATTTTAATGTGGATGTTTTTTTCTATAAACTTGATGTTCACACTAGCAGAAGGTAAAAGGGTTTGATTGAACGTACCAGGATGTGTTTTTGTTCACTGACATTTTTTTAATGTGTTTGAGACCTGCAGCACTTTAATGAAGTTATTTGTTATGATTGTGCTGGCAGAAAGACAAAGATGTGATTCGTTTTAACTAGAAGGCCATTGTCAGGTTTGTCAGATGTCCGCAGCAGCCAAAGTTTCTCTGCAGAATATACGCTGCTTTTCCAAGAGTCAGGGCATTCCTTATAAAACTGTGAAATGTTCTAAAATAAATAAACTTTATGAACCAAAGTAATTTTTGACTCACAAGAGAAACTGTCTCGGGGCGCAATCTTTATCTGCTTTGTTATAAATCATAGTTAATGAGGGAAACTTATGTTTATTCATTTAGCAGACGCTTTTATCCAAAGCGACTTGCAATTTATAACCTGTAGGGCATGTTGTGATCTGTGGGGGAAACCGGAGAACCCGGAGGAAACCCACGCATGCATGGGGAGAACACGCAACTCCACCCAGAAAGGCCGCAGCCGAGCCGAGTTTCAAACCTGCAACCTTCGTGCTGCGAGGCAACAGTGCTAACCACTGCGCCACCATGCTACAACTTCACAGATGGACTAAAATGAACAAAACAGGAAAACATCCACATTCCGCTTGGAGTGGGAGCTGGTTGATGAACCAATGAAAAACATCCGAAGAAAGTAATTTGTGTGATTTTTTAGGCCCCACCATAGCCATTGCACATGAAAAACACCTGTTGACATTTATTTATAGCATAATCAATCTCAAAATGTGCCATAAAGGATTTAAAGAATAGAAAAATATCTGTAGACAAGTTATCAAAGTCCCATTAGATGTCACACACAGGTGTGTGAAATTTGTTGTTCGCAGATTTGACCCATCCCCTGGGGGAGCGGTGAGCTGCAGACACAGCCGTGCTCAGGAACCATTTTGATGGTTTAACCCCCCAATCCAACCACTTAATACTGTGTCAAGCTGGGAGACATTGGGTCCCCTTTTTTTTTTCAAAGTCTTTATGACCCCACCAGGATTTGAAGCCCAATCTCCCAGTCCCAGGGTGGACACACCGGACACTCATACCACACGACCACTGAGCTGGTGAATGTCAATTGTTAAATATACAGTTGAAATTTGCATCATATAGTAATTAAATGTCTTGTTCAACTTATCAGACATCTGGTAGTAACGGCTCAGAAATAGTCCCCTGGTACTGGACGAGTCTTAAGAGACTTTACCTGTTTGCATTTTGGATCAGATGACATCAGGAGCATTTTTTACATTAATGTGCATATTTAAACAGCCACAGGTTACAGTGTTTATTTGTGCACTCAACACAAATTTTAACACAAAAGTTGTTTCTTGGTGGCTACAGGAAGTTCATCCTGCTGGTGCAAAGCTGATGGAACCGGTGAAGCTTTCAGTGATCAGCACACTGATCTCTGGCTTATGCTTCACAATATATATCTGCTTTAAACCACACATTTATTCTTGATTCCTAAATATTAGAAGCTCATGCTACAATGACTGGATTGATTTATAATGAAGAATGTGTTGCACCAGATTTATTGTATTTTGGACTAAGATTATTTTACAGCTGAAGCAGAAATCAAATGATCTGAGACTGATCTCGAGAATGACTTGGTACATTCATTTATCAAGTTAACCAAGTGCATATTTAAATATCCACAATCCAGGTATCATATTGCTTGTGTTATTCTCCTCTTTAAGTAAACCTTTTGTAATGATATATTTTAGTGTTTTCTTTGTAATGATATATTTTAGTGTTTTCTCGTCTAAATTTTAACAACAATCAAGAGTTTTAATGTCTAACCACGTGTTATCTATGCTAATGAATTGAAAATCTTACATTAATGCACACGTTTTTTAAGCAAACTGTGGATATCAACAAAAAGTTAAAGCAAAAACATGAGAAACTGCACAGCACACACCTGTCAACGAAGTTTTACTGCTTTAAACTCAAGCGCTGCCCACGAAAGGCGCCATGAATGTCTTCTGCAGAGACTGATTGGCTGCTTCTCTCTCACCAGACATCGTACACATGACGCTATTGGGCAGCCAACATTGAGAAGGCGCGTGGTTGTAGGTTCTGATCTGTGATTGGCCGGAGGATTGTGGCGTTTCTGACGCTTGGTTGTGCCGCATGGTGCGTGAGCTGTGATTGGACGGGACGTCAGGTGTAACAGTGTAAAGACCACGCTGGCCTGTAGTTCCAGATATAAATACATCACTATCCGGTGTGTTCTGCCGAAATACTAAGTGACCTGAGCAGGATAAGAACTTCTAATTTTACGGAATTGACTTCAGACGCAGGTGAGACGCTTTCTGTTGATTCTATAACTTTATGGGTTATTCTATCCTAAAAAGGTCGCGTTTTTATATGATGTTGATTTCTGTAACAATAGTGAATATTATGATTATGACAGTAGTCGGTTTGAAAAAAAAATTCTTAAACTGAAGTTAGTCCACGAGTTGGATAGTTCAAGTAGAAACCGGTCCGTCAGCTAATTAGTTCCGCGCAGATGCTAGTCTCAATTGTCTTAAATCTATCCATCAGTTTTTGTTATCTGAAATCTGAAGTGTTATAAAGCCTTCGTAACTTGTAAGCGTGTACTCTAATAATTTTTATTTCTGTCTGATCAATTAGTGTGACCTTTTGTAACCGGTGTTAAACTGCTTAGGGTTCCGGGAAATCCCTGCCCTTTCACCCAGTTACTGTTCCCTGCTAGTTTTTGGGACGTGGGATCCATACGTAGCACGTGACGTGTGTGTAAGTATTGTGTAATAACACACATGACAGCGGCTGCATACGTTGGTCAGCTCAGACTGAACACATGCTGCTGTTTCATGCTAACGTAGCTCTGAGAATATCCTGCTAGCACTGTTTAATGAACGGCTGTGTGCTGTTCACCCTTTATTTAAACGTCAAGCAGCGATTTAATAATATACCCACTGCTGTGGGAAGTGTTCCGTGGCTATCATGCTATCAATTTAGCTGACCTTGCCGTGGTTTTATAATGTCAACAACTAGCAAACGTAGAGCACTGACAATGTTAGTGGCTGAAGTCTAGACCTAATGTAGCGGTTCGGATAGGTCCGGTTCCCCAGGATGTCCTTAAGATCCACTTAGACCTGTCGAACTGTATCAGTTTACCTCTCTGTCTCCCTCCCCATTAACTCGTTAGGAGTCGGTGGGCAAATCCCAATTAAATTAAATCCCAATTCAAACGAGTGCATTCTAATACTGGGTTAATGCTGAACATCAAATCCTTTCTTGACCTGCCCAGAATGCCTGGTTCAGCCCCAATCAGTTGCTTGGGACCATGGCCCAAAGATGTGGGTGTCATTGCCTTGGAACTGTACTTCCCATCCCAGTATGTGGATCAAGCTGAGCTGGAGCAGTTTGATGGTGTGTCAGCGGGGAAATACACCATCGGCCTGGGCCAAGATCGCATGGGTTTCTGCTCAGACCGGGAGGACATCAACTCCCTGTGTCTGACCGTGGTCCAGAGGCTGATGGACAGGAACGGCCTGTCCTACGACAGCATCGGTCGACTGGAGGTAGGCACCGAGACCATCATCGACAAGTCAAAGTCTGTGAAGACGGTCCTCATGCAGCTGTTTGAGGACTCTGGTAACACAGATGTGGAAGGCATCGACACAACCAACGCTTGCTACGGTGGTACGGCTGCGCTCTTCAATGCTGTTAACTGGGTGGAGTCCAGTTCATGGGATGGTGAGTTTCACCTTTTATTTCTAACTAAAATTATAAATGATCTGCGTTTATCAGTCACTGATACACTGATGGTGATGAGCAACATTATAGCCACAGCTGCCCTGGGTCGCACTGACAGAAGCGAGGTGCCACTGGTCCCTCTGACCGCTGTCAACAATCAGGAAGGGTGAGATGTTCCTGCTCAAGGACGCACGACTGATACGGAGCGATACCGCTGCTCCTAATCTAAGACATCTGTTTGTTTATAAAGCATCATGGACTCTGTGTCTCAGAATCAAGGAATTACACATGTGGATGATGTTATTCTGTGTATGTTTATTTATTTAGCAGACATTGTTGTCCAACAGACCTTACAACTGTGGATTTAGCAGAGCTGTCAACGAAAATCACATCATTTCAGATGCTTTATTAAATATTGTACCCCATTCAAACTCGGTGAAAAAAACTGGTCGTGGTAACACAAGTGGTATGCTGTAACTCACAGTCCCTAGTTGATTTACTACATGCAACTGTTTTCTTTTGTTCTCTTGAATAAAACCAAACAGAGCAGTCTGAAGCCCCTTTTCATTTCTTACCAGCCTTAATAGTGTCCACAGGTTTTCCACACAGTGGGGGTATAATCAGATGCATTCATGTTACCCGTTATTTAATGTCCACACAGACAAAAGGCCTCCACTCTATTTCACTGATATGAAACATCTTTTAATGTACAGGTGGCCTGTTTAATAAATAAGCACTATTAAAGTCATTTAAAATGTTTCATTTTGTTTATTTCTTACCGAAAATAGCTCTTTGTGCCTTTTATGTGTCATTATGTTAAAATGCTGTTTTGAAAGCATTTCTAGGATTTAATTCCTGGCTTTTAAAAAAAGAACAGAAACAAAAAACTGAAAGTTTTATATGTTTGAACTGTTTGCAGTCCTCTGTAGAGGTTGGGCTGTAGTATTAGAAAACCAGCACTCATCCACTTCCTGCTTCTCTCTGCAGGCCGTTATGCTTTGGTGGTTGCAGGAGACATTGCTGTTTATGCCACAGGAAGTGCTCGGCCCACAGGTGGTGCCGGCGCTGTGGCCATGCTGGTCGGACCTAATGCACCTTTTGCCTTCGAGCGAGGTGAGTACACTGATGAGTTTTCCTGTGTTTGGGTGGCCTTTGTGTCCGATACCTGCTGGACTCTGACCATCAGGGGCGGAGCTTGATATGTGCAACATGTGCGGCCGAACGGGGCGGCAGTCTGGGGGGGGGGGGGGGGCATTTAATTTCCTTTTATTTTTTTTAGCATCAACAAAACATAGAAATTGCATGTTCTTCATAATAATAATAGTGATGAGTGATGATAATAAACAACAAAGTTGTAGGTGTAATTTTTTTTGTTGTGTAGGGGGGGGGGGGGTCACAGGGGGTTCTCGCACAGGGCGCCATTTAGGCTAGCTCCGCCTCTGCTGACCATCTTAACTAATCATCCCTGGAATAAATACTGATTGTGGGTATCTGATGTTTAGGTTTTCTTACTGTGTGAGTAGGGGAGTTCGATACTAGGTATCGTTTACCAGAGTAAACTGTGTTTGAAATTGTCAGGTCTGCGGGGAACCCACATGCAGCATGCGTATGACTTCTACAAGCCAGACATGGTGTCCGAGTACCCGGTGGTGGACGGAAAGCTGTCGATCGAATGCTACCTGAGCGCCTTGGACCGCTGCTACTCGGTGTATCGCAACAAGATCCACGCACAGTGGCAAAGAGGTGGGCGCCAATGACTTGCGACTTGAACCAACTTGCATCTGTTGACTTGATGATGACTTGAGCATATTTGATATTTTAGCACAAAAGTGGCACGACGTGGACAAAAATCATAAATAATTCTTGGTTCTGGGTTAGATCTTGTACGGCTAAATGCAGCAGCACTTTGTTTATAATCAGTTTCAGTTGCACTTTCTGCTTGTTTGAGCAAATAAATAAAGCCTTAAGAAGCTCTATTTTTGGAATGTATTTATCATCATTGTCATTAAATTGAAGTTGGATGGATGACTTGAAAATTCAAAGTTATAGAGCAAGTCACCCACTACCAGAGTATAACTCCACTCCCACTTCCAGTCTAAAAAATGCAACAAATGCTGTTTCCTAGCAGACTGAGAGGGCGGAGCCGCTAACAAATACACTCACACACAGGCTCACAGCGACATTGTGACATCATATCATACCAGCTAACATTCTTGGGTACCTCTTAGCCAATAGCGATGGCAGATTTAAATTCAACTGCAGTGCAGAGTTTTTACCTGACAATGGCACAACACTGACAGTTTTAGGCAGAAAATTTAAATTTTAACTAAAATGCACTAAAGTGCAAAACTATTGACTTCACGTGTCTGCAGCATGATTAGATACGCGTTTATATAGTTTATCAAGGAAAAAAAAGTTGACTTTGGAGGTGACTTGCTCTTTAAGAACTTGGACTTGACATGGGCTTTCAGATCATTGACTTTGGACTCGACTTGGTTGTCTTTGACTTGGACTTGGCTCGGGACTTGACTGGAAAGACTTGTGCCTCACTTGTGACTTGCAAAGCAGTTACTTGGTCACACCTCTGCTGATCTCACACCTGGTTACCACCACCGTATCTTTTACTACAACTACAGTAGGGTGATGCTGCCACTTGCTGGCCAAACTAAGCAGGCGTTTTCTCCTCCTGCCTTGTGTTTACTGGTTTTTAGAGGAGCTGTTTGTGGTTAAAGTTACATGCAGGACAACCAAGACCATATTCCTCTACCAAAATCATTATGTCTGAGTATTGAGCCTGTTTTAGCACTGACTAAATGTGCTGCTGATGCTTTAACTCTGTTGTTTTTCTAACAGAGGGCTCAGAGAAGCACTTCAGCCTGGAGGACTTTGGCTTTTTGGTTTTCCACTCTCCCTACTGCAAGCTGGTCCAGAAGTCCCTGGCTAGACTGATGCTGAACGACTTCCTGAACCATCCAAGCCCAAACACTGAGACGGGACCCTTCGTGGGCCTGGATGCCTTCAGGTACATGACGTTTGCTGTATGAAGCTTTCGTGTGATCGGTTAGTTAGTCAGTGTTTTAGATGCCTGATCCAGACCGGGTGTCCAGCTGATAGTGCTGAGGCAGCCATGCTAATCTGCTAACAGACTGTTGATGGTGTTCCAGTGACCTGATGGGCAGAAGTAGTGTAATCCTGTGAGCTGTGGTGGAGGTCGAACTTTATTTATAGCACGGTTTTTACATTGTGATTTCTCTGCATGCTCCTTCTGCATTAGCATGACTGCTGTTACTTAACATCAATTTTAAAAGGAAATAAAGTCTTTAATTTACCAACTGATGTCCAGGGATGTGAAGCCGGAGGAGACGTACTTTGACAGGGATGTGGAGAAGGCCTTTATGAAGGCCAGCGCGGAGCTGTTTGAGAAGAAAACCAAGTCCTCTCTGCTGATCTCCAACCAGAATGGAAACATGTACACACCATCTGTGTACGGCTGCCTGGCATCGATTATTGCTGAGTAGGTCTCTCAAGAGTCCATATTCTTCTGAGTATTATTATAACACTGAAAATGGCTGCTCTGTAGCTGCTGGTGTCTGGTGATTTAGGATTGTTGACAGTTCTTTCTGGTATCTGTTATGTTTACACAAACACACCACTATCGTCAGTGGTGAAGTGGATGCATCGGGTTTAATAGCTGGCTGAGTGTTGTTCCTGCTTTGTGTAACAGACACACACCGTCGGAGCTCGCTGGACAGAGAGTGGGAGTTTTCTCTTATGGCTCGGGATTTGCTGCTACCCTGTATTCTCTCAGAATCACACAGGACCACACCCCCGGTGAGCTCTGATGCTTGATGGGTAACATGAGAATTTACAGTTGTTAGGAGATGTTTTTCTTTAATTTAACTATTATTCTTTTGTTAGGGTCTAGCCTGGACAAACTTGTGTCCAGCCTGAGTGACCTGAGGCTCCGACTGGACTCGAGGACAAAAGTCTCACCTGCTGTTTTCTCTGAACGTATGAAGCTGCGGGAGGAGACCCACCACTTAGGTAAGACGTTGATCTCGGTGCTGCACACTTCAGATACTCATCCAGTCACTCTGATCAACGATTACCCAAGATGTACAGACCTCAGATCTGCTGGTCATCTGTTTATCCCGTTTGTCTCCAGGCTGAACCAGTAATCAGGACTGATCTTAAATGGAAGTTTCAGTGTAATGAAGAACTGTCTAAACAAGCAGCTCAGTAGAATAAAGCGGTTTTGCCAACAGCTTGGTACAGCTCGGGTTAACTCAGCTCACCTCAGAGTAGATGGTTTTCCCTGCCAGCTCAGAGACAAAAAGTGGGAGCGCCCCTCATAGCTTTACTCAAGACAAAAATAGCACGGGGAGATCAGTAAACAGTGTGAGGTGATCTGTATGCAGCACAGAAACACAACGTAGCACAAAAATGGCGGTGATGTTGAACATTCCACTGTTTATGGCTTTTTGCAAGAAAATGGCTGCAGGCAGAAAGCTCCGGAGCAACCAGTGACTCCACCCCCTAGCAAATCAGCGGCTAACACAGTCATGATGCCAGCCCGGCTCAGCCCTTTGAACGACAGCGGAGCAGGGACAGGAAAGTAGGGGGCAGTACCGAACTGTGCTGTTGGAAAGGCAGCCAGACCTAAACACACCCACTCGGGTTGTGCTGTTGGAAAAGGCCTATAAAGTTCTCTAAATCTTTAAATCTGGCAGCCTTTGGAGATCGTTTCAGATCCTGTGTGAAACTGCTCTGATGTGTGTGAAGATGCCGAAAATCAACAAGGAGCCTTACAAAAACAAAATCTTTTCAAAACACCACTGGTGAAATGGGATAAACCTTAGTGTGTGTGTGTGTGTGTGTGTGTGTGTGTGTGTGTGTTACTTTCTTTTCACCGTATTTCAAATTAACACTTATTTTTAACTTGTTCCCACAGCTAGTTACATCCCTCAAGGCTCAGTGGAGGATCTGTTCCCAGGGACGTGGTACTTGACACGAGTAGATGACAAACACCGCAGAGAGTACGCTCGCAGACCTCTGGATGATGACCTGCCAGCAGAACCAGAACACATTCGCTCCAGTGCAGCTGCAGAGGTACAGAAGAACTTCCATGACTTCCCGTCGTTGCTTTGTGATAGTCTGGTCTCTTCTTGGGTAAAGCTGCTCCACCACTGGGCCTTTCCAGGACCCCCAAACATTAAGGCATGTTTCAGTCATTTTTGAGTGTGTTTAATGTATAAAGGGTATAATAATGGCTGCCTCGCTCGTGGCAGATGGCTTCCTGATAGGCCTCTCGGCAAATCTATGAACAACGTCATGTCATACCTGACCCCCGCGTGACCCTCAACTGTTTAATTTAGCTGCTGTTGGTGCTTATTTACATCATAAACACTGTTGTTATTTACATGAAATTATATTTTATTTTAGAACTTCTATGTAAACAACTTCTGTGTAAATGATCAGAATCCCATGTAAACAATTTTAGAATTCTGTGTTAAAAAGCTCATAAATCCAGGTAGAAATCCACACAATCACATTTAAATAACCCTTTCAGGTCTATGTTAATAACTAGAGGTCCACCGATTATCGATCTTTCAATTGCTGATGCTGATATGTAGAGGTCGTGGTACGCCGATGGCAAATGTTGTTTTCCCCTCATCTGCATGCTAAAATATCACTAATAACATCAGTTGTAGCTGAGTTGTTTTTTGAATTCTTATATAACCATCTGCTGAATCCTAAATGTGTGCACAGCTCAATGTTAAAATCAGACATCTAACTAAAGATTGAATCAGTTAATTGACCAAGTATTTAATAATATATTTTTTGTAGCATTTACTGAGCAGATGTTATTCAGTAAACTAAAAATACATTTAAATTGTGCAGCAGAGCTGGGCTGCCTGGGTAGGCGCCTGACTTTAAATCTGCTTTACTAAGGAGGTAGATCGGCTGATGCCTAAATATATATATATATATATATATATATATATATATATATATATATATATATATATGTATATATATATATGTATATATATATATATGTATGTATGTATATATATATATATATATATATATATACATACATATATGTATGTATACATATATATATATATATATATATATATATATATATGTATACATATATATATATATATATATATATATATATATGTATACATATATATATATATATATATATGTATACATATATATATATATATATATATATATATATATATATATATATATATATATATATATATATATATATATATATATTTAATGTATAAAAATGGAAAAAACCAGAGAAACACTCACAGTGTGTTAAAGCGAGAGTTCTGATGTCCCATACTTAAGCAGGGTGTCCGCGGGGTTTTAAAAAGTGATAAATAAAAATAGTCAAATTTAAGGCCATTAAAAGTGTTAAATTTGGTCTCAGAGGTATTATTTTTTCCAAATTAGGTATTATTTTTTTCAGACTATCAGATGTCGTATTCTGAACATCGACATAGAAATATATTCCGAATGAAATGTTTTGAACGATTATAAAAATAAAACAAGCCGATTATTTGCTCCTCCCACTTGCGCTGCCTTGAGTTGCAAATGAAGCGCTCCTCCCAGTGTTGCCAAGTTAACTTGGCGACTTTGACGCTATTTCTAACAGCTTTTCAGACCCGCTTCTTGACTTTTTAAATCTTAAAAGTACCTAGCGAACACCTCAGAAACATCTCTGGTAACCCTTAGCTACTTTCTGGATTACTGTCGTCGACATTTCCTGCAGGTTAGCTAAACACTCCGCCTGCACTCCGGACCGTTCTTCAGGACATTAGGAAAGGGAATGATGTAGTGATGTGTCAGTCGCTAAAGACAGCTCTCGGAGCCGGCTCCCTGTTGGATTAACCAGAGTGAGTGACACACACACCGCACCTGCGGACTCCTGAGGCGATAAAAACGGCTAAATGTGCGCGTGCGGCGCGCTAAACACACGTGCAGCTTGCCCCGATTGCTGTGAGACCGGGTTGGGGGTGGGGGTGCAGCTGTGGTTGGGACAATTATTACATTAACTGATGGACTTGTAAATAAATAGTTTATAAATAAGGTAGAAATAAGTTCCTCACGCTGATAAATAATAACTAATCTCTCTGAGGACACAGTGCTAGTGCACGCTCCTACAGCACCTTGACATGACTCAATAAATGTTATGCAACATTTAGTGAACAGCAATTTGCATGTATTTGTTATAAATGCCCCTGTATAATTCTTGCTGTCAGTATTTGCAAGATAATGGTATTTGGGTCTGCACTGGTTAGACTTAAATGAGTTAAACCAAGGTCTATAGCCCTTGGATCATAAACTATGAGCTATAAGTATATTGGTCTTTTTATACTGGGAATCAGGAGTTATTTTAGTGATCATCTTGTTTCTTGTTTATTTTTGCCCTGATTGTGCCCTGAGCAGTTTTATTACAGAATAAAAATAAAAAAATAAAAATCTACATAAATTGAAAAATCGTATTAAATAATCGAGATCTCAATTTCAGTCACAATAATCGTGATTATTGTTTTCGCCATAATCGAGCAGCCCTACTTTAGCATATCCGGTCACATAATGATGACGTCATATTCAGTGGTCGTTGTGCATCATTTCAGGCCTCGTGGTCAACTGTCTGAACCGCTGAACAGAAGTGCCTGGCTTATTTTCTAAGTAAAATAAATATGCGCAATACGTTGTCAACATCAGTGAGTCTCTAAGTCTATTCTTTTTGTATGTTATATATGTTAAAATATGTGTAAATAGGTCGCTGATTAACACTTGCAATTAAGTGTTGTGATGGTTTTAAAAAAATTCTGAAGGTAGTAAAAAAAAGTATTAAAAAGTAGTAAATTTTACTTAAGGATTGCTGTATATACCCTGTTAAGGGTCAGTGAATGCAGCATGATTTGAGAGTTAAAGTCAGCCAGGATGGCAGCTGATGGAGAAAAAGAACACCAAGGGAAACAATATTTTCTGACCTGCAGGGGTCAACGTGAAGTGTTAATATGTCTCCAGATGTTTTTGAGTTTGCAGTGAGTTCATAAAAACAAAAGCCTGCTCCGAGGCAGGGACAATAACCCGCTGCTCTGCCTGGTTGATTGCAGGTCTGATGGTGTTGTGTTTGTGTCCCGCAGCACATCCCCAGTCCAGCCAAGAAGATGCCTCGTATCCCAGCAGCCATGGCTGGTCCTGAGGCCACCAGCAGCAACTGAAACTGCCAGCCTTCCTCTGACGGTGTCCTGGTCCAGCATCACAACTACATGAGCGTAGACCTCAGTAAAAGGAGGCCGCACGACATTCATCAAGCTCCAGGTGGAGGTGGTCTTTATCTGGAAAGCATGCTGCTCTTATCATACCTACAAGTCAGACATTAGATTCTGTAATGGACCAGGTTCTCCCCAGTTTATAGTTTGACTGATCCTTGATTTTAGATCTTACATTTGAATGTATCTCAGCTCTGCTTCAGTGCAGAATGGACAGTTAAATCAGTGAGGAGGGTGTCTCATCACACTGCATCTCATGTTGGCCGTTGCTGATCACAGAAAACACAGCAGGGGGTGATGGAGCTCCTCTCTGCTGTTTGTTTTATTCCGTTTTTCTGCCTGACCTCATGTAACCTTTAGAGCGTCACATGAGGAACCTCTCCCTAATGCTACTCAGTCACCTTCTGCCATCTGCGTCCAGCTCTTTCAACCGATGTGACTGATTCATCATTAAGACCTGCCGTCTGGTCCGGCCTAAGGCTGTATTCAGGATCTACTCAAATACTCCCAACATGTCTGAAACAAAGGTTTCATTACAGTTAAGGTTGTAAATGTGACAGCTTTAGCATTTAGCTCGGAGAGCTTCACCTGGATGTTTTACACCTTTATTGGATCAGAACCCACAGGGCTTGGGACGTGCATTCATGCATTCATCATACTGAAAACACAAGTATAACAGAAGTTGTCCGAACAACGGTAACGCGTCTGAGCCGAGCCCAGCAGTAGAACTCAGAGCTGCTAATAGAAGACTAAGATGTGATTCTAACACCAGTTTAAGTGAGAGCAGTGCTGTAAACTCACCACTGTACTTAGATCTGTTTAGCTCTAAAGCACTGGTCCCACTGAGTTGGCCTAATTTAATGAATGACGAGCTAAGCTACGTTACACCATTCCCTTCGGTGTGCTCCAGTTTCCTTCTGATATCTTGTGTTTTTTTACAGACAAACGTTTCTAGATTGATCCTTTGTGGGATAATTTAATCTCTGAGATTATTGGAAATTGCAGCTCCTCAAAAGGTTTCATTTTCAACAAACATCCAGTTAGATTAATCATCAAATAGTTGACATCAAAGGGCTCGAGTTGGTGACGCGGTAGGACCGTAGGAGCAAACCGAACCAAACAGCTGCTAGCTGCAGCCATCACTCAGAGGTCCAGTAGGGTTTCTGCTCAGGCTCAGGGCAGCTGGGATACTTGACGTAAAGTTGTCTTTACTTTAATCACACGTGAAGTGTAAACTGTACATAGTTTTCCTTCAATAATGTACAGATATATTCTTTTACTTTGTACAGTCACTTACTGGTTCCTGGTACGTGTGGACCAGGTCTACCAGCTTCACAGCATCACTCTGACGTCGGGTAGATGGTGTGTGTTAAAGCTGTCTGTGTCAAAGGTCACATGATCTTTTCCAGCATCGATGTACAGTACAAAATAAAAATATTTATGTCATGTAGATATAAATGTGTTAATGCCCCATCAGGTTCAATGAATCATACATTTGTATAAATATGTAGAATGAGAATAAATGAGTAATGAACATGGTGATTTATTGTTTAATGTCTGCATACCGCTGAGGTCCAGATTCAGATTTATTATTTCTTTGTTCACACAAGTTTAGCTGTTTGAAGAGCAACTTCTGTTCATTAAAGCCCGGGGCCCAAATTCACCAGTGGACAGTGTTTCTTTAGTGAATTTAGTGTCTGTCTGCCTCACAGAGCCCCGCGGTTGCAGTCTAGCCACATTTAAAGAGGTCCTTCACTCAAATTTTTTATACATTTGCCGTGGTCTCTAGTAGGAATTAAGTCGTACGTTGGGGAGAAAAAAGCTCCGGTGCATCTATTTCTGCATGGAGAATTCAGCCAGAGGAGAAAGTCGCTTCAGACGTCAGGATTTGGAATCTAATTTACTGATATTTGGACATCTCACATCTGATTGGCTAATGGCAACAAGACTGTACCAATGACTCCATTTTCTTTGATGCTTTTTCTCCACAAATAACACAAGCCTGAAGGAGTTTTGCTCTGTGGTGGAGTTGCTAATGCTAGCAGACATTCTCTGCTGTTTCCTGAATGCTAAACCAACAACAGCCTTCCCCGTCATGAGATCAAGATGGGTGAGTCCATGAATGTTAAGTGACAGACGTAGTTTTGGGGGGGGGGGGGGGGGGACAGGGAGGACATGTCCTCCTACTTTTTCCAAAGTCAATTATTGTCCCCTACACTGTTTACGTCCAAAACCAATATTGCGCTGTCTTAAATAGACACTGGTTGCGCACTAGGACCAAGACCCCTGTCCTCATGCCGGTTGTGTACCCCCTCACTTCTAACATCAAAACTACATCCATGGACACAGATCTGTCGGGCTTTTCAAATCCTAGAAGCTAATGCAGGAGAAAGGTGTAGGAGACTGTTTTCATGTTCAGCCTGCATGCTAAACTCAGAGTGACTCATCACTCTCAAAAATAACAAGTAAAAAATGGTTCCTCGGTTAAGGACCTCTTTAAATGAAGGACTCTGCTGCATACAGAGGAAACCCTTCTGTGTGTATGTGATTCCTGCTGGAGCGACATGCTTTTTATTATCAACAGCTACGCTGTTTGTGACGTGCATTCATGGTGAGACAGGAAGCGAGACAATCTTTGGTACACCATGTAATAAAGCTGCTTTTTAACCATAACCAGTGAGAGATTATTGTAACATGTAGAAGGAAAGGTCCTAAGCATGACAGTCCAACAGCTTAGTGGTTCACTCTTCGTCATCATCCTTTATTTATATGGCACGTTACAGGCATGAGGCATGCCACCAGAGTGCTGCACAGTAACAAGTTAGGGTTAGGGTAAAATCAGCTGTAGCGTTAAGGATTTGGTTCATATGTATTAAATGATCAATAAGATGTCATAATTCCATGTAAATATGAAATAGCAGTCTGATTGGTCTTTGAGTGTTTAATCCGAAGACTAGTTTCTTTTACTTATTCAGGGACCATGCACACTTCATATTAATTCAGACAGTCATGAATATAGTTCATAAGAATGAGTTTATTTCTATTTCCCTAAACTAACGGTTGTACAAGACAAGATATAAATGAAATGATTGAATGTAATGGATGAAATTATGTAATTGAAGCTAGATGTTTTAGCAAAACCTTTCTTACGTATCTGAGAGAGATTGTGGAGTCTGGGTTGTAAAATCAAGTTGGCTGTACGGTTTGATAAGCTAAACTTGGTTTACAAAGCCATCCGACGCAATTTGTGCCGAATCTACGCACCCTTGCGTGGGGATTCCTGTGCGATCCAGGAGGTCAGGAGGTCGAGATGGACACTGCAGATGGCATGGACCCCTGGCATCGGAGCTCGTAGCAAGCTCAGATTTCGACCCGTCTAGTCTGGGTAATCGTCCAGGTGGCGGCAGGGAGCTGGAGTGCTTGTTTTGCATCTAAGACTGTTCGGTGGCTGTTAAAAGAGCCGTTGTGTCTGATATCATCGGCAAGCGTTGCAGAGCAGTGTTTTGACCTGAGGTCAAAAGAGAGGAAGACAATTAAAACCAACAAATAAAGATAGAATAACTCATGTAAGAGATCAGCAACATCTAAGCCACGGAGTTAAAAGGTAAAAACTCTTCCCCAAAGTTCAGCAGCAAATCCCGTTTCAACACACTAAAGAAATGCCTCCAGACCTCTTCTGGTTCTTGATCCATCACAAAAGAAGACATGGTGCAGCCTTGTAATAAATAAAGATTATTCTGAATCAAGATGTTGAAGAAGACATTAGATGACAGTGGAGCTGGTTAATCTAAGATTAAATAAACTTTTTATCTTTAGCTTCAGCTTCTACTGGAAGACTGTCGCCCTCCTTTGGTTGTTTATGACATTACAACAACGGCTTGTCAGAACCTTTTCTAAAGGATTTTCAGCGCTATAGAACAAGAAAATAAGCTAAATAAAACTGTCCAATAGCTTGCTTGGACAGTTTGAAAGACAACCATAGATTAAGCCCCACAACTGAGATCTGTCTATGGGTCGTGTTCACATGGCTTGCCAGGTTACAAAATGTATGAACTCTATCCTGAGTTCCTTCTGAAGTTCCAGTTGGCTCTGCTGTGTTTCCTGAATGTTGTTTACCCTTCTGGAGCCATTTATACTGCTCAGAGGCCACAAGCCAGTCCCAATAAAGTAGGCTATGGTCACTGAATGCAACATCTGGTCTTCTGCCTTTTGGTTATTTATTTTGTTTGTTATAGATTTGTTTATCGTGAATGCATAAGGTTTCTCAGAGTTGTAGATTTTTTCCTCTCAAAAATGTATTTAACTCTCTGTGGAAATCTATTTGTGCCACAGAAACAAGGTCACATTGTTCATCATAACTTTGACTTCAAACTCATAATTATGACTTTCAAACACGATGACATAACCTGAGTAGATTTTGTAGGGATTATGTGAATGGGCTTCCGTAGCAGACTCAGTTAACATTTTTTTCCTGTCAAGTTTGAGTTACTCTTAAGTTTTTAAAAACTTTTCCACACAATTATTCTAAAATGTCAGAAAATGATTCTTGTGACTTTCTGTCTGTGAACAATGAAATTTCGATTTTTGTCTGGAAATTCGAAAACATCACATCATTAATTTATCCAAGAAAATAAAACATTCATCTCAGCATTTCTGATCATTTTTAGGAATTGTGTCCCTGCATGTTTTATTTATATTTATTTGAATGTAATCTAGAATGGCCACAATACGCGGTCAGAGCATCGACATTAATATTAGTATCAGTATATTAATATCAGAGAGAGACTGATAAACTCCGACTCCATCCTCTACAGACGATCCACCGCCGGCAACGGGGCAGCGCGACGCCGCCCCGTTGCACGTCGAGCCCGGTCAGGGTGGAGTTTAGCTGCAGCAGCGGATAGGGAGGGGAGCGGAGAAAAAGTTGGCCTTTCCTCTGCTTCTAAACTTTGTGCTGTTGGGGAGTTACTGGACAAAATAAACGGTTCTGGTTTCATCGCTCGAAGAGCCGTCGACTGGATCCTATCGAGGCGTTCAAGGTCAGACGGGAAGTTTCTAACTTTTGATAAAAGCTTCACTTCACGGGTTGTTGCAAGAAGAAGAACTGTGACGTCACTAGAATAGGTTAGCTAGGAAACTTAGCAAACTCAGGCAGCCGCTGGTGCTGTAGCCTCCAGGCGGCTGTGTTAGAAGATACTGAATCGTTAGACGAAGAGGAAGCGACGACCTTTCGATACACGCGCCACTACCTATGGCCACCACTGCACACCCCCCGTCAAATTCGCACACTCCCTCCCTCCCGCGCGCGCGCGCGCGCACACACACACACACACACACACACACACACACACACACACACACACACACAAGGAGTGGAATGTTATGTCTGATGTACTTGTGAAGCTAACTGCGTGCGTGTGTGTGCGCGTGCGAGTGAGTTCAGTGTTTAAAAGTGGGTCCAGGTCTCAGACACCCCCCTTCAAGACCGACAGCACAAGTTCAGCTCTCCGCGAGGCTGCGTGGAGCACCAGGCACAGCCTCAGCATGCTCTCATGTAGCCTGCGGCTGCAAATTCTTGCAGCGCACACATCTGCGCAGCGCGGCTCGCCAAAGATGTTCACTTAGAAATAAGACGCCTAAAGGCCACTACTCACGTCTAACTAAAACTAGTCAACAATTTTAAGTTTAAAGGATTTAAAGTTCTGCAGCGGCTTGTGCATCAGCCGTGGAGACATGACGGTGGTCACGGTGCCCTTCAGCGCATGGCAGCATTTGTTTAAGATTCAAGATAGTTTTATTGTCATTGCACAGGTGTACAAAGAAATTGACTTTGCGCTCATTAAAGACAGCTCACGTAAGGAGGTAGTGCAATAGAAGTAAAATAAAATAAGGCTAAATAGATGACACACACACACACACACACACACACACACACACACACACACACACACACACACACACACACACACACACACACACACACACACACACACACACACACACACACACACACACACACACACACACACACACACACACACACAGCCAGTTTAGGGTGCAAAATGTAAAAGTATAATGTAAACATGGTAATAAGACAAGTCTAAGCTATAAACTGAAATATAAAGTAAACACATATAAATGTAAACAGTCACATGTTGAGGTATCAGGATTAGCTAGCTTAATGTAAAGGTGCTGTAGTGCACTGATTATCCAGCAGAATCTGTTGGTGTGACCTCCTAGCAGCAACATTCAGTTCAGTGCTGGCTCTTGCATAGAAGCTGTTTAACATCCTGGTGGTGTGTTTTTATTGCTCTGTGTTGTTTACCAGAGGAAGAAGTTAGCAGGGTGGCATGAATCCTTTAGGATGTTTATGTTTTTTTCTAAGGCAGCGAGTGGTGAAGATGTCAGCCAGGGCAGGCAGGTGTGTGTTTGTTATTTTCTCTGCAGTTACCACTGCATAGCTGCAGAGCATTTATCCCTTTGTGTTTTATTTTTCTTGTATCTGACGGATCTGTGGCTGTTTGCGTTAAATCACAGCAGGAACAAACTCTGATTTTCAGCTGTAATCAGACTAATGGAAAACAACTTTACATGTTGCCTCTCAAATCCATTGTAAACATTTTCGGACAGAACCGTCCCCGGTGCTGTTTGCAGTGAGGAAGAGGCTACAGTGAAAAAATAGAAGAAGTATCAAACTCAAAGAGACGTAGGCCAGTATGTAGAGAGATTCCCTATCAGTGTTTATCAGATGGCTTTTATGTGTGATGATGACAGCACGATAAGAGCTCTGTTGTGGCTTCTGGTTTTGGTCCCACCCTGACACTATCATTGGTCCCCGTCTGATCCCCCTCTGAAACATTTGTGCCCTTCTTTAAAAAAACAACATATTTACTACTTCTTGGATCTCACTCCAGTATTGCTATTAGAGAAACACAAATTTAATAGGAAATACCATTTATCAGCTTTTATGACTTCCTCCAACTCTCTTCTTCATATTTAGCTCTTATTTGTTTATAATTATAATATAGCGCCACTGCTGATTTTTTAGGCTGACGAAGTGCCTTCATGTGATCCTTCTGCAGAAAGCATTTACTACCTATGCTAGCTGCTCTTTGGTTACACATTACAGTTGGACAGGATGTGTATCAATAACCAATGCAGGTGATTTCTCACTGGTCAGCTACTGGATGTTTAAACTTCCTCCTAGGGATGAATAAAATCGGTATTCTTGTGATGGATTAGTGACCCTGACCCATCGATATCCACAGGGAGATGTGGGTAAAGGAAGTGAATGAATGGATACATGTGCCATAGCTGGAGAAATCCTGCTGCATGTTGATGTTGCAGATCAGAAAACATGCGAGCAGGTTTTGAAGAAACGTCTATTTATTCAGAAAACATATTGTACACTCTTCATGTGTTTCCATGGCGATTTCCCACTTAAGTTAGCACACATGCTAGCTTATATGTGGGGAAACAGCACTTGAAGGTACAAAAGTAAGATTTTTACAATGAAATAATTACAAAGCAGTCTTATGGCCCATTTACACTTGGGTCAGTTTGGCCTGGGCCTGGTGTGGACAGCTCTTTCGCTTGTGGCCAGGTTATGTTTACGCAGCCTTCACAGGAACACGGACACCTCTGGGCTGGGCTAAAGAAGTGCAGAGAAGTCCATGGTGTCCTTGCTAAGTGCCACAAGTTGGTATACAAAAATGGGCGTGAGCAGTGTTGTTGTTGGAGACTGACTACCCACCGGTCAGAGGCTCCCACTAGTAGGTATGAACTTCAGCCAGCCCATCGGTGAGCGTGTAGGGTCGGCTCAGCTCGAGACGGACCGCAGGAGAGCAGTCGGCTCTGCACATACAGGAACAGACATCACAGATGTAAATGCAATTAACCGACCAGGGCTAGATCGAACTGACCCAAGTGCAAATGTGTCCTAATGTCTCAATCATGTTAGAAGAATGCTTACAGTGAAACAGCTTTCCTTTTCAGGCGACTGGGGGTTATAAGGTGTCTTTTTTTAAATGGCCAAAGAGGGATGTAGTCTTTGTTTACAGTCTGTGAGCCTGCAGTGCTGTCGACCCAGCAGTGTTTTGTAAAGAACATAATACAGTAAACAGGAGCAACCCAGAAGTTATTTCATGTACCCCCATGATACCATAGCATCTTTATATTTTACTCTAATATTGGGGAAGGAATGCAAGAGGCTAACATTGAGCTAACAATGCTAACAGTGAATTAGAAGCAAATAGTCGGCTCTAAAATTATGTTATTTTTGCAAATAGAGGTGTCGCCTATTCCTGTGGCCAGATGCTCGTTGATCTTAGCAAGATGTGTGCTACTGCTCTGTGTGTGCATGTCCAAAGAAGACGGAGACAACCTGATAGCCACAATGTCAGACAAACAAATATGACCTCTACCTCCTGTTAGAACGAACGGTAGGAGATAAAGAAAGAGCCGTTAATGTGTCTGAAACCTGCCAGCTGATGATAAGAAGCTTAAAAATAACTCACTGGAACATCAAGTCAGTAAAGTTGTAGAGATTTTATAGGAAACATGATTAACAGAAGTATTAGAGTTCCTCCAGTTCAGTTTATTCTAAAAATCACTTTAAATGAAAAACCATCACAGGAACTGTTACCAAGTACCTTTACTTGTTTATTGGTCATAATAATCATTAAAACCATAGTGTGGTGATTGCAGTCATTAGTGCAATCAGATACTTTTTTATTAAGAACATTGTGTTTGTGGATAATGCGAGGGAGAAGGTAGTTGTAAGGTTTGAGCAACGTTCTTTTTTGAGTGTTTTTTTATTGTGGCAAAAAGAAAGTGGTGGTCAGCATCAGGCTGTCCTTCTGTAGATGAATCTGTTGCTTCAGCACTTTGGTGGCAGTGAGTCTGGCATAGAAACAACAGGTTTCATTTCCTCCAGACATCCAGGTCCATGTCAGCTGCTTCAGAGCTCCTCGTGCTCTCTGAATGTGACAGATCAAATGAGTGTTGCATAGTGGTTGCTCGCTGCTTCTCACCAGTGTCACCACCACAGCAGCATGTCTTTACAACATGCTGCACAGAATAAACAGTGGCGTTTTGTCTCAGCCATATTTGGCCACATATGCTGCTGTTACGTCAGCACTGGAAATCATCTGTCTGAGATGCAGAACAGTGGTCCACTCAGACTAGTGTTAGAAACCCGTGTGGTTCAGTCAAAGCAGACAGGAGGCTTGCATCATTTTACCATCACATTAAACTTTAAGGGAAATTAATGCAGTTTGAAAAAAATATCTGAAAAAGGTAAAATATTTTCACCTCATAGTTTGCAGTGGCATGAATAGAGGTCATGTAGGTGATGTATTTACTTAGCCTGGCCTGCCAGACTCATCCTCTGTAGAATTCTGCACAGAGAAAGAGTCTGGTAACTCACAGGCCGAGAGGCACTTGAGGGGCGGGACTAGGCAGCTCAAAAATGACCAATCAGAAAAAAGACGGAAATCCCGACTGTACCGCATGATGCTGTAATTTTCTAGTTATTGTAAAAAATAGCGTCTGGCAACGGCGCAAACATCTTTTATTTTTTTAGAAGAAGTGCTTTTAGCACTTCTACTTGTGGTTTTAAAGACATCTGAGTCATTTAGAACAGAGGAAAGAGTCACAGTGAACTCCGCCGCTGTCTTAGTTGTTTATGAGAAACTGAGCGTCGCTGTGTGTGACATCGGCAACGCTGTAGTTTTTTTTAGCTGTAGTAAAAATGGAGTCTGACGTGTAGGGTTAAAGAGTTACAATTTAATTAACAACCATAGACATTAAAGATCCATATCTAGTATGGACCCCATCTAATGGACACTGGGCTATTTAAATCAGAAGATTGGTTCTTTTTATTACAGGGAAATTAAATAAACACTTTGCATGAACTGAGAGACAAGAGAAGAGGGAGCGAGAGACTTTCAAACGTTTAAGAAAATTTATTATCTAAATGATTTTAAACAGTTTAACAGAACTAACTCTCTAATGATGGATGCTTGAGGAATGGAATGTG